GATACGCTGACCAAGAGTCGACAGACATTGCTCTCACAACTCCATGGTGTGATAATGTTGCTGTGAGTAACTGGTGATGATAAATGTTCCTCTTTCCATCCTTTATGACCTAAATGTCCATTTTGTTCTTCTTATCTTGCCTCCATCTCTCCTCTCCTCGTGTAATTAGGCCATATCCTCCTCCTCTTCCTTCAGGCATTATTATTCAGAGCAACAGATGCCTCTCATCCCACTTTCTTCTGTCGCCCCCCCATCCACACCCTTATTTTGCATCATGTGTCGACTGTACGTTTGCACCCATTGTTTTCCTATCCTCTGTTCTGCTTTATTTTCTCCTTTCCCTCTCCATTATTCTACTTTTCCTCCCCTCTCTTTCATGTCCTTTCTCTCCTCTCTCCCTCCCTGTTGTTTCCCCTCTCCATTATCCCTCTTTCCTGCCTTCATCTGCTCAGTGTCAGCTGTTATGTAACAGTCAGGTGACGTGTTGGCCAGGCTTTAAAGGCCTAGCGCCCTGCTAGCACTGAGCTTCATTAGTGTGTGTGATTGTGTGAGAATATAATGTACCTTTTTTTTCAAAACCTCTATTCAATAACAAGTTTAGTTGTACAAATGGTATTGTTTTTCTCATATCAGAGATAAGATTAGTGTGTTTGTCTCCAAAAGTGAAGACTTGTCGCTTTTTTTTGCTTAAATGTGTAATTTTTTAAGTGATAAGAAAGTCTTGTTGCTCTTTTTCTTTCCTCAACCTTTATTTCAAAGTCAAAGTCGGCTTTAGTCAAGAATTCTACATGTTGTAAATCCAGAAATATCGTTTCTCGAGGTCCTACAGTGTGACATATGTACATCAAACAACAACAACAACAACAACAACAACAACAACAACAACAACAACAAAAAGGGCCTAGATAACCGGGGTATACAGTTTAAAATTTTAATAATATGTTAAAGTGTTCAGCGGAGATGGCAGAAAAGTGACGTGTGTGTGTGTGTGTGTGTGTGTGTGTGTGTGTGTGTGTGTGTGTGTGTGTGTGTGTGTGTGTGTGTGTGTGTGTGTGTGTGTGTGTGTGTGTGTGTGTGTGTGTGTGTGTGTGTGTGTGTGTGTGTGTGTGTGTGTGTGTGTGTGTGTGTGTGTGTGTGTGTGTGTGTGTGTGTGTGTGTGTGTGTGTGTGTGTGTGTGTGTGTGGTGTGTGTGGGTGTGTGTGTGTGTGTGTGTGTGTGTGTGTGTGTGTGTGTGTGTGGTGTGTGTGTGTGTGTGTGTGTGTGTGTGTGTGTGGTGTGTGTGTGTGTGTGTGTGTGTGTGTGTACATACTTCCTATATAAGTGTATACGAGAATAGTATTGAGTGCAAACATCTCCTTGTGTTGATTTCAGTCTAGTTTGAATACTTAACATAATTAAATTTACATTTTGAAGATAAAGGAAATGGATAAGTCAGTGCAACACCATCACACAAACATGGCAAACAAATCATCTTAAAGAGTTCAAAACAATGCATTTAATTCACAATACCACATCGATTGGGAACAACTCCACAATCGAGGGAAGTCACGCGTATATACACTTTAAAGTTCTCCAGATAATATCAAAAAACTATGGCTAACATGGTTTCTTGTTGTCGTAAAATGTTAGGGCTGTACAAGGGCGTGGAATCAAATGCACGATGCAGAGACAAACAAAGTATCAAAATAAAGTGTTTTAATGTAGACGGGTCATAACACACTGAATACATAAAGCAACAAAACAAAAACTACTAATACACTAACTCTGTGGACGATAACTCTGTGGACGATAACTCTGTGGACGATAACTCTGTGGACGATAACTCTGTGGACGATAACTCTGTGGACGATAACTCTGTGGACGATAACTCTGTGGACGATAACTCTGTGGACGATAACTCTGTGGACGATAACTCTGTGGACGATAACTCTATGGACGATAACTCTATGGACGATAACTCTATGGACAATGACAAAAGGATCTTACGCTGGAAGGCTTGGAACACACAAGACAATCTGGCAACGAGACAGGGGAAGACGAGAACTATATACTAGACCAGGGGTGGCCAACCCGCGGCTCTCGAGCCGCATGCGGCTCTTTGCCTAGTTTCATGCGGCTCTTCAGTTCATATCGAATTGTATATGTGTGAGTTTGGAGGAGAGACGCTGACTCCTGACTAGTGTTGCACGGTGTACCGATACTTGAAAGGTATACCGCGATACCCTGCCGTTAAAAACGTTACGATTCCTCCGTTTCATTAGTAGGCCTATCGGTACTTTAAGAATGACGGGGAAAAGTACTCCGGTGAGAAAGCGCCGTTTTAATAAGAGCCGTGTGTTCAGCGCTCTGCTTCCAATCCCTGCACTGCAGCCGTGCCTGCAGTCCCGCCCCTCTCAAGCACGCTCTAAGTCCCTCCCCTCTCTCATGCACGCGCTAGCTGCCAGAGCATGTGAGAAAACGAGAAGCATGGCTGCAAGTGGGAGTGCAACTGCCGCTGCGCCTCGGCTTGTTGACAAAAAAGACGCCAGAAGCGAAATTTTGATGTATTTGAGCTATATCTCTGACAGTGAGGGCAAGCCTACGGACACCATGAGGCCTGTCTGTAAGACATGTATTAATTTTTATTTAATACGAATTCTTGTCATTTATTTTATGTATTGTTCTCATTGTTTAAAAGGTTGTGTTATGGTTATGGTTCTGGTGTGAAATAAAGCACAATAATTACATTTAAGACTGTTTCCCTTTTTTTAAGAAAAGTATCGAAAAAGAATCGGAATCGCAATTCTTGACTTGGTATCGAAACCAAAATGTTGGTATCGTGACAACACTACTCCTGACAGTTAAACCTGATATTTAGTAGGTCTGTTAAGTATTGAATGTTGATAATTCTGACGTAATTTGGCCGGTCAAAGTTGTTTGGGCTCGGATAAAATCGCTCCGTTATTTTCGTCCCGTGTTACTTTCGTCCCGGCTCTCCCCCATCTCCCCACGTATGTGTGGTGTCAGGTAATTTTGATGTGGGCCAAGAGCCAATCACAGTAATACCTGCGATGCAGTGAATCATCACCTTTGAGGGGGGGGAAACCTATCTTTGATTAAACACTATCCAGTGTTTCGCCTACCCGCCGAGCCCCTCGCCCAAAAAATATATATCATTTTTTTGTTGTTAAATATATAGCACCAAATTGCAAATAATCTATAACTACTGGCACTTTTCACATTGAACATGTGCTCTTTTATTAAATAAACTAAACGCTTTCATTTTAAGTTGTGAGTTTAGTGTTTTTGACCCTAAGAAACACTGATGCATTAATCAATAACAATAAGCTCCTCTATCTGCTCCAGAGGATTTAAAAAAAATATATCCCAATGCCACAAAAATGCATCAGTGACGTGGTTGAAATCTTGTCTCCAGAAAACAAAAAACTGAAACAAGCGGTATCAGTGACTGTGTGTTTGATGTGGCTCTTTGCAGTAACATAGAAAAAAATGTGGCTCTTAACCTCTGACTGGTTGGCCACCCCTGTACTAGACAGACAACACCAGGTGAAGACAATTAGACAATCACAACCGTGGGAAAACAGACAAGGCAGGAAATGTACTTTAGACACATGAGGGTAGACGAGACTATCAAAATAAAACAGGAACCATCTAAACACATAACATGAAACCTAAACTAGGGAACAATCTTAGCAGAGCCGTCTACGCACAACACAAAAGCTAAGAATGAGACCTGTAGACACGCTGAAAGTGATCAAATAAATACAGTGCCAAAAAGACGAGTTTATCACCAGTGTTTGGATGAAGGTCTAACAGCATGACCATATGGTGTAGCTTCTCCCTCCCAATGTTCCTCTTTCATTCCTAAATAACACTTTTAGAATAACACAATATAATATATACACATGATTCCTTGTCTCCTTAAGTGGTACGAATGTGAATGCTTACATGAATTAGCCTTTATCAGTCATTATTGACACCTCCTGTATTCCCACTGGTCCTCCCACACGGCATTACAATGCTGCTTTGTTGTCATGAGTCATGGTTGTGATGATGCCTCTTCACTCACGTTGTGTACATTTGCAGCACATGAATTATAGTCTGTTAATAAAGCGGAGAGAAGGGTATCAGGGGTGAGCTTTTTAATTTACAAAATGCTCAGATGCACTCGTTCTGCGTGGAATTAATGCACCCCATAAGGGCGTAGGCTTTACTGTTTTGCACATCAAAGAAGAGGCCGATTCAGACGCTTTGTATGTTCAACAAAAGACACTTTGTGTATCTCTGACATCGTGGAAATTAAGCGTACATTTGCATATAAATAACCAAGTATTGTGGAAGTAATTCTGCCTGTTACTTTATATAACTAGTTTAAATGTCTAATAATAACTTTACAGGTTGTTGTTTCAACTCAGGCAACTATTAATTTCCTTACTTACAGCATTAGTAATTTAAATGATGAATTCCTTACACTTATATATATTTGTTATCATTCTAAATAAATATGGTTTAGTATAGATACGTTTTGGCTAGACCTGTCATTATAGCAAGTTTTGTAGGACCTTATATTTGTCCCTGATATAATTGCAAGAAATAATATAATTGTCATTTTAAGACCATAATGTATCACTGATATAATGATTAGATAAAATGTAAATGTATATGTATGATCGTACACGTTTTAAAAGAGCAATAAACTACAAATACTTAAGAATATTCAGACATCAGAACAGAAATGTAAAATAATGATTGTAAACAAAATGAAACCATGCAACCAAAACAATAAATACAATGGTCTCAGTTAACAACATTGCAGGTCCCTGAGTCTGATAATGGCAGGGAAATAATTCTGTAAACAAACACACATGTAAATACAATGGGTGATTATGGATGTCTGCAAAAAGCCTGGAGGCCCTGTCCACATGTACAGAAAGTAAATAGCATTATTATTGTATCAGGTGTTGTTCTGACTGTCTTTCTCTCCTCTTGTGTGTCTCCAGGTGCTGATATTGTCTGAAGATGAGTAGTGGGGGGGGAAACACCCCGGAGCCCTCCTCAGGGGGCGAGACTCTGAAGAGGAAGGACTGTCCGTCAGACCTGGTGGGACCCAGGTGAGAAACTAAAACACCACCCAAACATCCACACATAGCTTATTGCAATTCAATCAGGAGAGACAGTTTTGATTCAACGATATATATTTATTGTCGGGAATACACAGATGAATGTAATAGTGTTTGGCGATTAGACCCCGTTGTGCTGGAATATCATTCAGGAGGGGAAAACCGAACCCATGAACCCCCCCCCCCCCCCCGGGGTCTAGACACTGGTGGTGGAGGCATGAAGGGATTGATAGAGGTCGGTCTGAAGAGTAGTGGTTTAAGCTTGACCCTGGGTTTGGAAGAAAGGAAGGTGGAAGGGGTTAGCTTCATTGGAATGACTCCTAAACCAGGAAATGAGTCAGCATTTTACACCTTTTGGGCATCCTTGTATCGAAGTCAACAGCTTTTTTAAACGTATTTTTGGTTAAATGTCTGAAATAAGGTCTGTGGTTGAGTTCTACCAAATAAAATACATTAGCAAATACTCCATTGGTGAATACAGACGTTTTTACTCCTCTTAAAAAAAAACGGTGGTTGCTACCGAGTGTCTAAAGGAGACGACTAAACGTCATAACGCTGAATATTAGCCGCCTTTAGCTTAGCGGTGGTGGTGACGTGAAGTCATGTGACCAGGACGATACAATATGACATAAGCTTTATCTATCATGTATGCCACTTGTTCAGAAAAGTTAAATAAGTAAGAAGATGTAATTGAAAGTAGAAAGAGGCAGAGAGAGAAAGGTAGGATGAAATTATTCTATGCCCTCGCAGCTCGGTGGAGAAAAATGCAGCGGCAGCATTTTTTAGGACGAGACTTAAAAATATACGATCTGAAGTCGTTGAATGAGAATGTATGAAGGTTGTAGAGACGATGGACCGAGGCTTTAATGAGGACATGGGGAGGTTGTCGCTGAGGTTTTTTGAGGACGTTGACTTTAGGAAGTTAGAGTCAGGACGAAATAAACACTGGACAAAATTGAAGCAAAGTGGGAAGTTCAGAAAATATAAAAAAGCTTTTTGGGATGTCCACAGATGTATTCAAAATCAGGAAAACGTAATTTGTGTCACAACGAGGAAGATATCAATGGCAAAAAATATGATATCAACAAAAAATAATCATATAAAAGTGATATCATACATACAAATATTCTACTTTAACTTATTTCATTCTCGTGTTAACTCCCTGTTGACATGCTGTTGGGACAAAACGGTTTCCTAATTCCGGGATGAACAAAGTATATTTTATCTAATCTAAAAAATGTGTCTAATAAACATAGCAATGTTAGGGCCAAATAATATCATACATTTAGCTAATGCTGGCAAATCCAACTCAATAAAAAAAGGGTGGAAAACGGGAATTTCGAGCTTGTGCATGGCAAAAAAGAGGCTGGAGGTTTTTCCTTTAACGACAGTGATCTACCAAGATAATCATCCTCCTTTTCTTCCTGTGTATGTTAATTTTTGGTGTTAATGTTGGCGATGTCTTTGTGTCCCTGCAGCCCTAAGAGGAGCACAGAGAAGAGGAACCGGGAGCAGGAGAACAAGTACATCGAGGAGCTGGCCGAGCTGATCTTCGCCAACATCAACGACATGGACGACTTCAACGTGAAGCCGGACAAATGTGCCATCCTCAAAGAGACAGTGAAGCAGATCCGGCAGATCAAGGAGCAAGGTGAGGAAGAACACTCCTTCACACTCCACACTGTGTCCTCCTGATAATGCTAGACAGACCTTTTAGAGTCCTTTGCGCTACTAAACTGAGAGAAAATATAGGGAATGAGAACTGCTTATCGTTCTGGGACAGTGTAGCCATATTTGGAGGAAAGCATCTATAGAGTGATGAGGTCTTGCATTGCACCCTCGACTAAAAGCAATGGGATTTTTCCATAGGATTTTGAAATATTGCAAAAAATTAACTCTGTGGCAAACACACATTTATGATACTTGCACATATTATTCAGCAGGATAAAAGCAACTGCCAGAAGTAAAAAAGCGAATGTTGGGCTATCAAGGAACTACAGCAACGTCACATGACTTCACGTCACCACCGCTAAGCTAATGGTGGCTAATGTTGGGCTATAAAGGAACAACAGCACGGTCACATGACTTCACGTCACCACCGCTAAGCTAAAGGTGGCTAATATTGAGCTATAAAGGAACTACAGCACGGTCACATGACTTCACGTCACCACCGCTAAGCTAATGGCAGCTAATGTTGGGCTATAAAGGAACAACAGCACGGTCACATGACTTCATGTCACCACCGCTAAGATAAATGTGGCTAATGTTGAGCTATAAAAGAACTACAGCACGGTCACATGACTTAACGTCAACACCGCTAAGCTAAAGGTGGCTAATGTTGGGCTATAAAGGAACTATTGCACGGTCACATGACTTCACGTCACCATCGCTAAGCTAAAGGCGGCTAACGTTGAGCTATAAAGGAACTACAGCACGGTCACATGACTTAACGTCAACACCGCTAAGCTAAAGATGGCTAATGTTGGGCTATAAAGGAACTACAGCACGGTCACATGACTTCATGTCACCACCGCTAAGATAAAGGTGGCTAATGTTGGGCTATAAAGGAACTACAGCACGGTCACATGACTTCATGTCCCCACCGCTAAGCTAAATGTGGCTATTGTTGAGCTATAAAAGAACTACAGCACGGTCACATGACTTAACGTCAACACCGCTAAGCTAAAGATGGCTAATGTTGGGCTATAAAGGAACTACAGCACGGTCACATGACTTCATGTCACCACCGCTAAGATAAAGGTGGCTAATGTTGGGCTATAAAAGAACTACAGCACGGTCACATGACTTCATGTCACCACCGCTAAGCTAAAGGCGGCTAATGTTGAGCTATAAAGGAACTACAGCACGGTCACTTGACTTCACGTCACCATCGCTAAGCTAAATGTGGCTAATGTTGAGCTATAAAAGAACTACAGCACGGTCACATGACTTCATGTCACCACCGCTAAGCTAAAGGTGGCTAATGTTGGGCTATAAAGGAACTATAGCACGGTCACATGACTTCACGTCACCACCGCTAAGCTAATGGCGGCTAATGTTGGGCTATAAAGGAACAACAGCACGGTCACATGACTTCATGTCACCACCGCAAGATAAAGGTGGCTAATGTTGGGCTATAAAGGAACTACAGCACGGTCACATGACTTCACGTCACCACCGCTAAGCTAATGGCGGCTAATGTTGGGCTATAAAGGAACTACAGCACGGTCACATGACTTCCTGTCACCACCGCTAAGCTAAATGTTGCTAATGTTGAGCTATAAAAGAACTACAGCACGGTCACATGACTTAACGTCAACACCGCTAAGCTAAAGGTGGCTAATGTTGGGCTATAAAGGAACTATAGCACGGTCACATGACTTCACGTCACCATCGCTAAGCTAAAGGCGGCTAATGTTGAGCTATAAAGGAACTACAGCACGGTCACTTGACTTCACGTCACCATCGCTAAGATAAAGGTGGCTAATGTTGGGCTATAAAGGAACTACAGCACGGTCCCATGACTTGACATCACCACCGCTAAGCTAAAGGTGGCTAATGTTGGGCTATAAAGGAACTACAGCCCGGTCGCATGACTTAACGTCACCATCGCTAAGCTAAAGGCGGCTAATGTTGGACTATAAAGGAACTTCAGCACGGTCACATGACTTCACGTCACCACTGCTAAGTTAAAGGAGGCTAATATTGGGCTATAAAGGAACTACAGCACGGTCACATGACTTCACGTCACCACCGCTTAGCTAAAGGAGGCTAATGTTGGGCGTGATGATGTTTAGTCGTCTCATTTTTTGTAAAGAAACGTTGATATTTTGACACATCGCTGTAATGATTAGTCAACAGGTTGTATTTGTTAGTATATTTTCAAAGATGGCCGACTCGATGTGGATGTCGTCACATTCCCATTTGCTAATCTACTTTTACTGAGCGGGTAAAAGTTCAACATTTCAACTTCTAAGGAAAGTAACATCTAACATTCTCACACTATTTCATGATGGAAGAAAGTGTCTATTCATGTTCTCACAACCACAAACATGGAATTACCTGAGGAGAGAGTGTGGTTTCTATAGTGTATTTATGAAGCTAAATGCTGCAATCCCATCAACTGAGATGATTATATGATATGGGAATAACTTTTCTGGGCTGTTCACACGTTATTTTTGAGAATGCGTGTGAACACAGCCTGATTTTGCAGTGTGAAACAAATCAAAAAATGCAACTGTGATGTCAGTCTCTCCCTGTCCTTCACTTTTCTTATCCTTTCTTTTACTCCCACAGACTTTTTCCATTGCTTTCATTTTCTACACTTTCCTGCTGTTTTCCTTTCCTCACCTCTCCTCCATTTATGTCCTTTTTTCTCCTTCTCTTATCTCCTTTGTCCTTCCTCAAACAAATCCTTAACTTTCCTGCCCACTCCTTTCCTTTCCTCCTTCTCCCCTTGACTCTTTTTACCCTCTTACCTTTTTCCTATCCATCTAAGATCCTTCCTTACACACACTAGTCCTTTCCTATCAGTCTTTTTCTTTCTTCATATCAACATCCATCCTTTTCTCTAGTTTCCTTCAACATCCTTTGTCTTTCACATTCTTCTACTCCTACTTGTATTATCCCACTTTCACCCTCCTACAATCCATCACATTCTCTTCTGTCTCTTTCTTCTTCTCTCTTCATCCTTTCCTCTCCTTCCTCTCTGCCTTGTCTTATTACCTTTTTCTTATCCATCTTAAATCCTACCTTGATCACTTACTTATTTCCTCTCCTTTTAACTAACTTGTTCAATTCTCTTCTCCCCTCTTCCTCCTTCCTTATTCTTTAACAACATCACTCATTTCCTTTCTTTCCTTTCCCTCACTTCTTTCTCCTTCTTCCTCTCCTTCCTCTCCTCTTTTTGTTCCTGTGGTCAGCCGGTTGGTGTCCATGTGTTTGTGCCTGAAAACAACAGCTGAATAAGCACACACACACACACACACACACACACACACACACACACACACACACACACACACACACACACACACACACACACACACACACACACACACACACACACACACACACACACACACACACACACACACACACACTCATAGAGAATACACAAGTCACAGCTGTCCACTCGACTTCAGAAAGCCGACAATTGCCTAGCAGCCTGTTTAACAGATGAAGTTCTGTATTGTCGAACAAATGTCATATAAAGGAAAAACAACATGTTCAGTACATACAACATACAGAGAAATGTATAAATGGTCAAATCTAGGGTCATATTTCCGATGTGAGATGAGTGTGTGTTTTTACCTCCATTTCTGCCAACTCAACGGCTGTTCCCATGCTTACAAACTTGACTGTTCTTCTTTCAACCCAACTTGTTGCAGCTGTGAACAGAGTGTACAGCGGCCTTATTGTGAGGCCAAAAGAGGGGTGGAAGAAGTACTCATGTCTTTTAAATTAAGTACAATTATTAGTACCACAGTGTAGAAATACTCAGTTACAAGTAAAAGTCCTGCCTTATTTCAGTAAAGGCACAAACATACTACTTTATATACTTGTCATTCGGATTAATATATGTATTGTATTGCTTATTAGTAATGCATTGATGTGAACGTCATTTATATTTTGCATTAAAGGGGACCTATCATGCAAAATGCACTTTTGATGTCTTAATAAATATGTGTCCCCGGTGCGTCGGGGAACTCACGCAGCGTCAGAAAATAAAACCCTCTCTCTTTTCCTCCGTACCCAAATCTTTTAAAAACGGGGGTACAACAAGCGGATACAGATTTGCTGCCGATGTGACGTAATTTTGGATGGTGGACCCACAGAGAGTTGCTATCAGAAACAATGCCTGACGTGTTTTGGACGTCTTTGTCTACATTAGCATCGCTAACACTCAGAGCTAACCTGTACTGGAGAGCACATGTGTTTAAAAAGCAGGAAATAACAAAAGGAACTCACCTTGTGATAAACCCGCAAGAGAAAAAGCATTTGAGCTCCATACTGTTTCAGAAATAATCCTTGATGTGGTTTAGAACAGGATGGCGGACATAGAATTGCTGATCAGTAATTTTTGTATGCTAAGGACCCAGAATCAGCACTTTAGTAACAGGGCTGGAACAGAGGGATATGATGGATGTCTAAAATGCATGATCTGTTTGTATTTTGAGCAAAACACATCATAGACTTGATTTCATATATTTTTATATATCTGAGACCCATAATATATGCCTAAAAATAGCATGATAGGTGCACTTTAAGTTAAAGTACTTCAAAATTGTACTTAAGTAAAACGTTCTTCAAACACTGGTAAAAGATGATGTGTGACCTTTTACCTCCTTTGTTTCAATGGGCTCGAAACAGTGTCATATTTATTGATTAAAAGAAATAGCTTGTCTCCTCTAGATAATTCACGAGCTAAATATGAATATAATTGTAATTGTTGATTATATTTTCTCTTCCCTATGTAAAGTAATGAGTAACACAATGTATCAAATGCATTGGGTGACATATGTAATAATACATTTTATTTATGAAGGCGTCTTTCGAGCCTCTCGTCCAAGGTACACAAAACAAAACAGCACAACAACAAGACAATATAATCAATAAAAACAGAGGACGTGTCATGTGATCAGGGTGGATATGCCCGTGTGAAGAAGTGTGTTTTCAGTATTCTCAGGGAAGCATTGTACTTCCCACTAAGATGTAGAAGTATAAAGTATTGGAAAATAAAACTACCTCAAAATTGTACCTTAGTAAAACGTTCTTCCAACACTGGTGTAGAATGTGACCTTTTACCTCCTTCGTTTCAATGGGCTGGAAACAGTGTGATATTTATTGATTTAAAGAAATAAAAGCGCACTGTGCCTTTAACGGCTGCAGTGACTCTGCACAGCTCGGTCCTGCAGGAATGTGAGCTATGTGTCCTAATGGGGCCATGGGAGGCTTATGGAAGAGAGGGGGGTCTCTAATGTGGACATACAGCTCATACTGGAGCATACATTTGTATTTCAACATGTATATTTTCTACTTTATTAAAGGTCTCCTATTATGCTATTTTTAGGCATATATTAAGGGTCTTGGATATATAAAAATATATAAAAAAACATGTCTATGATGTGTTTTGCTCCAAATACCAAACGGATAATGCATTTTAGACATCCCTCATATCCCTCTGTTTCAGCCCTGTTAGAAAAATGCTAATTTGGGGTCCTTAGCGTAAAAAAAAAAAAGAGGAGGCGGAGCTAATGCCTGCTCATAATTCTACGAGATACAGCTAAATGCTGCTGTGATTAAATGCCATCATGTTCCAAACACATCAAGGATTATTTCTGAAACCGTATGGAGCTCAAACGCTTCTTTTCTTGCGAGTTCCTTTTTTTATTTCCTCCTTTTTTACACATGCTCTCTCCAGTAGAGGTTAGCTCTGAGTGTTAGCGATGCTTGCTAATGTAAACAAAGACCATATTACGTCCAAAACACATTGCGTATTGTTCCTGATGGCGACGTTTCTGATAGTGCCGTGGGTCCGTTTTGCCGATATTACGTCATATCGGATGCAAATCTGGATCAGCTCCGTTGTTCCCCCGTTTTTAGAGATTTCGGTACGGAGAAAAAGAGAGAGGGAACTCACAAAGTGTCAGAGAATAAAACCCTGACACACCGGGGACACATATCTATGTATAAAAGACATCACAAAGTGCATTTTGCATGATAGGTCCCCTTTATAAAAGAAAGGCACGTATTTATACAGCTTTATAGATTTTTTTAATCTTCACGGTCTACTGTATATGTTCTACTTTTTATTGCTGTTTTACCTACCTACCTACCTACCTACCTACCTACCTACCTACCTACCTACCTACCTACCTACCTACCTACCTACCTACCTACCTACCTACCTACCTACCTACCTACCTACCTACCTACCTACCTACCTACCTACCATGTTATTTGTAATTGACTATAGTTACTTTTTCGTTGTATCCTGATTACTTCGTCTTTTTACATCTCTGTTCACACTGCATCACATTCCAGGTGCTCAACCCTCCACACAATGATGGGAGTGTGTGAGAGAAGGTTTGCCTGAGGGCGGCATTGTGACAAAAACATCACTGTTGGTGGTTTCTGGGAAGAGAAAATACCCATTAGGAGAGTTCTCAGAGTGAGTCTATCTGACTGAATGTGTTTCCAAGAAAATAATCACACTGTGTGGTAAACATACTGTCAGTCTCTCTGTTAGATACCAGCCCTTCTTATAGTGAAGTGCAACAATCAGTGTTCCTGTGATTCGACACACCTACACTTTCAAAGTGCCAAACACTTATAAACTGCTGGCTTAAATATGCACAGTTTCATTTTTATGATTGCATCGAATTGACAACTCAATAGTTCAAAAAGTATATTTTTCTTCATAAAAGCTGCAGAAAGTCCTGAAACCTGGAAATGAGTCAGCATTTCAGCACTTCCTGTTCCCTCGTCTCAAAGTCAACGTTATTTAAATGTGTTTTCGGTTGTTAGCCTTAAATAAGGTCTGTGGTTAACACAAGCTGAAGAGATTTTTACATTTAGTTATACAACATAAAATACGTCAGTAAATACCCCACTGGTGGATTTAAAAACCGCGGTTGCTAACAAGTGCCTAAATGAGACGACTAAGCGTCATCACGCCCAGCATTAGCCACCTTTAGCTTAGCGGTGGTGACGTGAAGTCATGTGACCGTGCTGTAGTTCCTTTATAGCCCAACATTAGCCTCCTTTAGCTTAGCGGTGGTGACGTGAAGTCATGTGACCGTGCTGTAGTCCCTTTATAGCCCAACATTAGCCTCCTTTAGCTTAGCGGTGGTGACGTGAAGTCATGTGACCGTGCTGTAGTCCCTTTATAGCCCAACATTAGCCGCCTTTAGCTTAGCGATGGTGACGTGAAGTCATGTGACCGTGTTATGGTTCCTTTATACGATAAGATATTATTTTATTTGTCAGATCAAGTCTGAAATTTGACTTGCGTCACAGCAGCTCCATGTCCAACATCAACAGACAAGTATCCAGACACAAATACATGAAACACAAACAACAAACATTTAACATAACAGCACAATCAGTGAGATAAAAGCTGCTCAAAGAGCCTTCAGCGTGCATTTGATCTGGGATTTAGCTCTGTATTTACTGTGAGGATTGACTGATGCACAACGGAGTGCTTCAGTCTGACTTTATTGAATCGTGGGACCCTGTATCTCCAATTAGATGGTAGCAGTAGGTGACGTGAAGTCATGTGACCGTGCTGTAGGTCCTTTATAGCTCAACATTAGCCGCCTTTAGCTTAGCGGTGGTGACGTGAAGTCATGTGACCGTGCTGTGGTTCCTTTATAGCGCAACATTAGCCGCCTTTAGCTTAGCGGTGGTGACCTGAAGTCATGTGACCGTGCAGGAGTTCCTTTATAGCGCAACATTAGCCGCCTTTAGCTTAGCGGTGGTAACGTGAAGTCATGTGACCGTGCTGTAGTTCCTTTATAGCCCAACATTAGCCTCCTTTAGCTTAGCGGTGGTGACGTGAAGTCATGTGACCGTGCTGTAGTTCCTTTATAGCCCAACATTAGCCACCTTTAGCTTAGCGGTGGTGACGTGAAGTCATGTGACCGTGCTAGTTCCATTATAGCCCAACATTCGCCACCTTTAGCTTAGCTAAGGGAACCCTTGCAATGCGATACAAAAAACACGTCATTATTGCACCACTCTATTTATCACAGTGCATGCATTTATTAAACTACAAACAAAATGTGGTGGATTTGATGAATGTCATTTTACTTTCTATCTTATATCTCTTCATACAAAGACGTTTATTTCTATTTTCCTGAGACCTCTCTCTGTATCTGTTATTTACCCATGTTTCTCGTTGTCTCCCACAGAGAAAGCTCCGGTGGAGGATGCTGAGGAGGTGCAGCAGGCGGACGTCTCCTCCACAGGACCAGGGGTCATCGATAAAGACGCTCTCGGGCCCATGATGCTGGAGGTAGGCTCACACAAACATTACCAAACCCCCCCTGTCTCTCTCTGTTATCATGCTCTTAGGGAACATAGTTTAAAGGTCAAAGCGATAGAGACACAAAACAGTGACACCAAGACAAGTTTCTACTCACATACCCTCCTGTAAGAGACCAATTAAGTAGAAATAAAAACATTTAGATTCAAAATGAAGTAAAAAAAACTACACCTGCAGGTTTTTCCAATCTTTATTGGACATTCAGAAAAAGGCACTTCACATCAATCTTCATATACTGATATATATCTGAACAGAAAATACATAGAACAATAAATAAAGTTAAAAAAACATACAAATTGTTTGGTTTTTGTATAGTTTTATGTCATTAAGAAAACCAATAAATACGAGATTCATTTTGAGAACATTTGTCAAATAAAAATATGTTGCATAAAAAGTGCATATATTTAAATCTTAATTCTAATTGCAGAAGTAAACCTCATTCATGACTTTAAAATGAACGTCTTTGACTTTGTAACTGGTTGTCATCTTAAATGTATAAGTATTTGTTTATTTTTGGGAGATAGGTTTCCTTTTGAAAGCAAACTGAGGTGAAGTTAATGCGGAGAGATAAAGAGCTGTCTGACTGTCTCTCTTACTTTAAATGGCGTTGCATTGTACAGTGACGCAGAGAGATAAGAGTTCCTCTGGCCAGCAGAAATGCCGTCATCTCTCTGTGTGTGTGTGTGTGTGTGTGTGTGTGTGTGTGTGTGTGTGTGTGTGTGTGTGTGTGTGTGTGTGTGTGTGTGTGTGTGTGTGTGTGTGTGTGTGTGTGTGTGTGTGTGTGTGTGTGTGTGTGTGTGTGTGTGTGTGTGTGTGTGTGTGTGTGTGTGTGTGTGTGTGTGTGTGTGTGTGTGTGTGTGTGTGTGTGTGTGTGTGTGTGTGTGTGTGTGTGTGTGTGTGTGTGTGTGTGTGTGTGTGTGTGTGTGTGTGTGTGTGTGTGTGTGTGTGTGTGTGTGTGTGTGTGTGTGTGTGTGTGTGTGTGTGTGTGTGTGTGTGTGTGTGTGTGTGTGTGTGTGTGTGGTGACGTATAACATGGCACCAATGAGGTAAAAATACCTCTGAAAAGCCAGATTAGAAAAGGGAGAGGTGGAGCTTGACCAAAGACACACACATGCATGCACACACACACACACACACACACACACACACACACTATATTTAGCTCCCACCAGTCGCAGCATTGGCTGAGGTGTCGGCTCAGAGATAAATATCTCTCTGTCCGTTCCCCACAGAGTGAGATGTGAAGTGATGAGCAGCCGTTCAGCAGCACCGTGTGCAGACATGCGGCTAAAGGACAAATCACACTCTGTTCATATAGTGGGAAAACGCTGAGTTGACAGGAATGAAAGAATGGAAAAACACACACACACACACACACAGAACTAGATACTGTAGACTTGCTTTAATGCCTCGGGTTATAAAAACATTTAATTAAATGTTAAGTGTTTACATACAGTATATACAGATCTGGATATATGTTAAATATATATTTAAAAAAAGAGGTTAAACTTGGTAGGAGTCAAATCTAAAATGTCATATTTACTGCCATTTGATTTGAGTGGAGAGTTAAGATTGAACTCAGCTCTGTTTCCCCCCTTCTATCCCACCTATTGGTCTTATTCGTTTACTTTTTCTTAATCTTTCCCATTTCTCTTCCTTTGTCCTCGTTTCTCCTCCCCTCTCTTCCTCCTCCTCCCCTCTCTTAATCTCATCTTTTGTCTCCTCTTCCTCACTCCTCCAGGCTCTGGACGGCTTCTTCTTCGTGGTCAACATGGAGGGAAACATCGTGTTTGTGTCGGAGAACGTGAGCCAGTATCTGCGCTGCCAGCAGGAGGAGCTGATGAACACCAGCGTCTACAGCGTGCTGCACGTCGGAGACCACGCAGAGTTCGTCAAGAACCTCCTGCCCACCAGCCTGGGTAAGAACCGCAGGAAGTGTACTGGTCTGATGGAGGAGATACTGTGAGGTGTTTGAACCAATGTGGAGTTTCAGCCTGAGGTTAGTCTCCTCAATACACCTGAATACAGGTATGTTGAAACAGACTGTTCCTCTGTCTGTACAAACTCATAGAGGTCTGGAGACATGGGATACATGTAGGTTAAAGATCACTCAACACAGATATGTAGCTGCAGGTAACTAAACACATGTATACTATATCAGAGAAAAAACACATTTAAACAATACAAATCGCGAAGCAAATGGCTTCATAAATAAATCCATTTTCTACCGTGTCCGTAACAACATTTCTTGACATATCTTATTGATAAAGCTTTAGCTAATAGTTCAATCCTGTTGACAATATGTGCAGCTTTTGGGCTGGATTAGCTCCACATTGAAACTCATTACAGATACGGTTTATTTTGGTGTATTGCAATAGTTTGGTGTTGCATGTTGGCACTAATATTTAACAGACCTTATTGACAAAGGTTTGGCTAATAGCTGAATCCTGTTGACAATGTGTGCAGCTTTTGGGTTGAATTAGCTCCACATTAAAACTATTTGTTGTTAGCATGTGTTAAATCTTACCTCGGATGTTCTATAGGATAGTGGTTGGAAGTAGTGGAGTACAAAGACTTCGTTACTGTCCTTAAGTGCATTTTTCTGGTATCAGTACTTTACTCCACTACTTATTTTTACTTCTACTTCTTACATGTTGAACTCAAATACCTGTACTTTCTACTTCTTACATGTTGAACTCAAATACCTGTACTTTCTACTTCTCACATGTTGAACTCAAATACCTGTACTTTCTACTTCTCACATGTTGAACTCAAATACCTGTACTTTCTACTTCTTACATGTTGAACTCAAATACCTGTACTTTCTACTTCTTACATGTTGAACTCAAATACCTGTACTTTCTACTTCTTACATGTTGAACCCAAATACCTGTACTTTCTACTTCTTACATGTTGAACACAAATACCTGTACTTTCTACTTCTCACATGTTGAACACAAATACCTGTACTTTCTACTTCTTACATGTTGAACACAAATACCTGTACTTTCTACTTCTCACATGTTGAACTCAAATACCTGTACTTTCTACTTCTCACATGTTGAACTCAAATACCTGTACTTTCTACTTCTTACACGTTGAACACAAACACCTGTACTTTCTACTTCTTACATGTTGAACTCAAATACCTGTACTTTCTACTTCTTACATGTTGAACTCAAATACCTGTACTTTCTACTTCTTACATGTTGAACACAAATACCTGTACTTTCTACTTCTTACATGTTGAACTCAAATACCTGTACTTTCTACTTCTCACACGTTGAACACAAATACCTGTACTTTCTACTTCTTACATGTTGAACACAAATACCTGTACTTTCTACTTCTTACATGTTGAACTCAAATACCTGTACTTTCTACTTCTTACATGTTGAACTCAAATACCTGTACTTTCTACTTCTTACATGTTGAACTCAAATACCTGTACTTTCTACTTCTTATATGTTGAACACAAATATCTGTACTTTCTACTTCTTACATGTTGAACTCAAATACCTGTACTTTCTACTTCTTACATGTTGAACTCAAATACCTGTACTTTCTACTTCTTACATGTTGAACTCAAATACCTGTACTTTCTACTTCTTACATGTTGAACTCAAATACCTGTACTTTCTACTTCTTACATGTTGAACTCAAATACCTGTACTTTCTACTTCTTACATGTTGAACTCAAATACCTGTACTTTCTACTTCTTACATGTTGAACACAAATACCTGTACTTTCTACTTCTTACATTTTGAACACAAATACCTGTACTTTCTACTTCTCACATGTTGAACACAAATACCTGTACTTTCTACTTCTCACATGTTGAACACAAATACCTGTACTTTCTACTTCTCACATGTTGAACTCAAATACCTGTACTTTCTACTTCTTACATGTTGAACTCAAATACCTGTACTTTCTACTTCTTACATGTTGAACCCAAATACCTGTACTTTCTACTTCTTACATGTTGAACACAAATACCTGTACTTTCTACTTCTTACATGTTGAACACAAATACCTGTACTTTCTACTTCTTACATGTTGAACTCAAATACCTGTACTTTCTACTTCTTACACGTTGAACACAAATACCTGTACTTTCTACTTCTTACACGTTGAACTCAAATACCTGTACTTTCTACTTCTTACATGTTGAACACAAATACCTGTACTTTCTACTTCTTACATGTTGAACACAAATACCTGTACTTTCTACTTCTTACATGTTGAACTCAAATACCTGTACTTTCTACTTCTTACATGTTGAACTCAAATACTTGTACTTTCTACTTCTTACATGTTGAACCCAAATATACCCAAGTATTTTTAAACACAAGTATCTGCACTTCTACTTGAGTAAAGGATGTGTGTACTTTTGCCCTCTGGTGCTTGGTGATGTGCTTTATGTTGACCACCTTTCTGTGTTGTTTCCTCTCTTCATCTCGCAGTGAACAGCCGCAGCAGTGACTCTTCGAACAGGAACAGCCACACGTTTAACTGCCGTATGTTGGTCAACCCTCACGCTGACGCTGAAGCCGACCAGCAGGAGGCGCCGCAGCAGAAATACGAAACCATGCAGTGTTTCGCCGTCTCCGAACCCAAGTCTATCAAAGAAGAGGGGGAAGGTAATATCTCATATGTCATGTTGTGTATTGAACCTCTTTCCGTTTTGATTTATTTCTTAGTCAAGGTTAGGGTTAGGATGACCTTAGGTGATCTCCCATTGGACGGGACTTTGGGAATTTTAGCCATTGCAGACCATTTACATGCACTATTTTATTTGTATCAACTTCTACATTTCCTTTCTCGCTTGTATTTTCTCATTCTCTACAGTTTGAACTCCTTTTGTTTCTATCTTACCACCCTTGTCTTCACTTTGTCATTTTCTCATCACTTTCTCCATCCCCCCTCTTCACAGTCTCTGGTGTCCTGTCCTCTTTCCACCACCATCTCATCTACTGAGAGACACTAATTAGTGTGTGTCACTTTGTCATCTTCCCATCTTATCTTATCACACACACACACACACACACTTGGGAAAATAATCTGTCTAGCATTCTAATTTGAGACGTCTGACAACCAGATTTTGGGGGTGTTGCTTGAGATTAGGGTGGAGGCTGATTTTAAAACTCATTCTGAGGCCGACTTTATGAGTTAGATTTCAATGCTAAAGTATTTTTATTTTCGGGACCCCCTTGAAAACGAGATGGTGCATCTCAAGGGGTTTATCCCAATGAATAAAATGTCTATATATATATTGTTTGTGTATTTCGTGGTTGAAAATGAGGATTAGAATGTCATAAATTCAGTATAAGGCATATGTATGCTTGATGCAAGGCATTAACTTGAGTCTCTTCATTAATACTTATTGTGTAGATTGGCCTTCAAAGTCAAATTGGTTAGAAGTACCCTTAAAGCGTGACCTTTGTAAGGTTTTAACTCGAGTTACCATTTAAATAATAATGTTGTTTTAAGGGTCTCACTCTGCCTATGTTCTTCTACTGTATACATGTTATATTCCATTACTCAAGGTGTAAGTGTAAGTTAAGGATTATTTAAACCAATATTTTTCCAAACACACAGATTTCCAGTCTTGTCTGATCTGTGTGGCGAGAAGAGTCCCCGTCAAAGAGAGACCTGTGATGCCCACGTACGAGAGCTTCACCACGAGACAAGACCTCCAAGGTACAAAGGGACCTTTTTTAATAACACAGTTTTAGGTTAGGGTCTTGATTAATTGAATTAAATGGGGTTGACAAAACATCCATTTACAAACTCTCACACAGCTCGTACAAAATAATCTAGGTCTTATTCCAGAATCCAGTACTCACTACTTCTCTAAATAAACATCTTACAATATCAAACACCGCTGCAAACACAGTGTCACACTTCCACAGATATGTTAGTAGTCCTTTAATATGAAGTATGATCAATCAGCATAGTCCAAATTAAAATGTACGTTGATTGAAAAAAACTTTTATAACCAGTTTTTTATTTGTAGGTCAGGAACAAAAGGTTCAGAGGCTTCTTCTGCAGAGTGGATGTTTGCACTTCAGGTTGTGAACTAAGGTCCACAGGTGAAGCAATTACCCTACTGCTCCACGACATGGCGGTCATCTGTTACACATCTTTTATCATCGGGCTGCGTTTAACTCAATCCATTTACAAAGTTCCACGTCTCATTTCTGGGATCCAGCTCAAAACGTCTCAAACACATTCTCAGTCTTCAGTAAAGGGTTCAGGCGTGAGAAAAGTTTTCAATCGTAATTTGGTTATACTGTAAGTAAGTTAAATGTATTTAAAGCGCTTTTCACAGACATAGTCACAAAGCATTAAAACATCCTACGAATGAAGACGTGCTAAAAACACAATACATTGTGAAAAACACAATAAAAACATACAATAAAATAGAATAAAAGCAACCAAACGCCTGAATGTAGTATTCCTTTAAGACGGCGTATACAAAATCAGTATGGTGTAAAGTGCAAATATATAATCTTGTCTTGATCCTGAGTGAGTGAGTGAGTGAGTGAGTGAGTGAGTGAGTGAGTGAGTGAGTGAGTGAGTGAGTGAGTGAGTGAGTGAGTGAGTGAGTGAGTGAGTGAGTGAGTGAGTGAGTGATAGATAGATAGATAGATAGATAGATAGATAGATAGATAGATAGATAGATAGATAGATAGATAGATAGATAGATAGATCCTACACAATCAACAGACACATTTATACACATGCACACAATAAGATACAAACACAACAGTCACTTCAATATCTTTGGGAATGTACATTAGTGCAAGATTGTCCATAGCAGCGTAAAAAGTGTTGGGTGCTGGAATTGAGAGAATTGAGATCTGAATCTTTTGGTCAGTTGTTAAAGGCCCTGTCACACTGTCCCGAAATTGACACCCGATGGACACACGATAAAGGAAATGTTCAAATTCGGCTGTGATCGTAGCAACATCGGGCCATTCGTGAGGGCATCTTAAGCCTTCGTATGATCGCCGGTGGAGTTTCTCAGGCTCCGGCAGCAACTTCGTGAGCGGCAACTTCGTAAGGCACTCGTGAGGGCATCTTGTCATCTTCGTGTTATCATCGGTGCATTCGCCCTCACTCTGATCGGCGCGAATGCCCGATGGCACCGATGATAACAAGATGCCCTCACGATGGCCTTACGAAGGGCAACATTGACACACGAATTCAACACGAAAATGAACCTTCGCAAGGTCCTTCGGCTATTTTTTGGCATGCCAAAGATTTTGCCACCGCTCACGAAGTTGCTGCCGGAGCCTGAGAAACTCCGCCGGCGATCATACGAAGGCTTAAGATGCCCTCACGAATGGCCCGATGTTGCTACGATCACAGCCGAATTTGAACATTTCCTTTATCGTGTTGTTTTATTGCACAACAAAATCATGTAAACATATTATGTAAATAACCCAATTTGTGTTCTGTGAAACTAAAAAGGATATAATATATTATTTTGAAGGCGAGTTGACAGGAAGTTGTTGTTGCTATGGAAACAACATTACGGAGAAAACTTAATATTTTCTACATATAACGACGGATAAAGTAAAGAACAAAGTCTGAAGATATCAGTACAGTATCATAGTACTGTAACACAATTGTTTTTGGTACTTTCATTGCAGTTGTATGTCTTAAATGTAATGTAAATGTTGCCTTCGTGTGTGGTTCGGGGCCATCTTCGTGCGAAATTCACAATTCCATATTCATGTGTCCATCGGGTGTCAACTTCGGGACAGTGTGACAGGGGCTTAAGAAATGACCTTCCTGCTCTAACAACCATCTAAACATGGCAGTAACCTGTTAACATCTTCCTCCCCAGGTAAGATCACGTCTCTGGACACCAGTCTGCTGCGGGCCTCCATGAAGCCGGGCTGGGAGGATTTGGTGCGGCGATGCATTCAGAGATTTCACCTGCAGAACGACGGGGAGATGTCCTTCGCTAAGAAACACCAGCAGGAGGGTGAGGAAAAACTGGAAGTGGCACTCAAAGTGTCTTCAATTCATGCTATGACTTTCTTCATATTGACTTGATTTATTGGTTGTTTTCTTATAGTTCTTTTTGAGTTTTTGCAAGTCTTGATGAATTCTTCCTAGGTTCAATTCGGACATGTTGAGCGTTCATTGATCTAGAACTTAATTGAGGAATAAATTGTCGGACAATCTACCTTATATCTGCAGACTGTAACTCTGTAACTAAAGGAGGCGTTTGCAGCCTTAGCTTGCTAGCTATAATCCTTTTTTCATTTTCTTTTCTTTTGGTTTGCATGATATTTTTCAGTCTTAAAGTATCTTTTTGAGTTTTGCAAGTCTTGATGAATTGTTCCTAGGTTGCAGTCGAATAGTCCAAAAATCAGCTCCTATCGTCTATCCCTATCGTTTATTCCTTGATCTCTGAGTGAAACGTCACGGGGTTAAGGGATAGTGGATAGGAGAATTCAAAAGGATTTAGGAGAAGAGACGGCAGTACTTTAGAGAATCCGACTGCACTTTCACTATCCGACGTCTTTATGATGCGCCAGTGGACGTCATTGTGTGCGTCTGCTGCTGTGGGGTAACCATGGAAACTACAGTTTTCTATACAGCGGACTACAACATGGATGTTTAATAAGAACGAGGGACTACTGTAAACTCATCTAGAGACTCTGCACCGTGCTCTGATGCTGTTGCTTTATGCTTTATGAACGGGGACAACAGAGAAACATATTCTTCATGACCAAAGTTGGAATTGAAATAAAAAAGGAAAGTGAAACTTATGCTCGTCACCCTCTCCCTCCGGTCCACATTAAAACAAATGATCCCAATACGTAGGAGTTATGAAAAGATCTTAACATCAATACAAATGTATTTATTATAAACGTTAGTCCTTAACATCTATCACTGTGTATATCACCATTCAAACATCTTTTAAAAGTTTAACAAACCCCACACAGCTCAGTGAGATGTTGACTTTATTTGATCATTTCAGTAAAAACTAACGTTCATATTTCTCTTTTTGATTATAATACTGATGAACGTTCAAAACAAAGCACTTTGGCAACTTACCACATACGTTTTAAAATGCTCAATAAGCACCGTAACTTTCATGATATCATTTCTCCCATTATCGTTTGTTTCCGTGAACGGCCGACTGTTGAGTGACTGCAAATGCTGCGGCTGCAATGCATTGTGGGGCAGCATTTTCTCCTCTCCTCTCGGTGAGGGAGGTCCAGTGGTTCCTAAGCTAAAGGAGGTTATAAAGGAAGTTTGAAACCTCCTTTCCTTTCATCGAGAGAATTCAAACGGCACTTATCATGGCTGCCACTGAGGGACTTCCGGGTCATTTCACTCCGTTAGGAAGGTTCCTAAACTAAACGGACTATTCGGACGCAACCCTAGGTTCAATGTGGACATGTTGAGGGGTCGTTGAATTTTAAATTATCCGGGTTTTTTTTGGGACTTTCTTTAAGTGTGACTTTTGTAAAGTGTCTTTGTGTATTTCTAAAAGCGCTATATAAATTAAATGCATTATTATTATTCTGAAATGATTTGAGGAATACATTTAAGGACGATCAAAACCCACCTTATATCTAGTTTTCCGTGTATTAAGTACATTTTTAAGCGATTTCTTCTGACATAATACCACATTTTGTGTACAAATATGTGCAGGAAAAATGTGTGTTTCAGAAAATGTCTTAAGCACACTTATTGATATAGACCGTGGTACCACTGGTGATTTAAGTCGATTTGATAATGCACACGTTTTTTTAACTATATTGTATTTATCATCAGTTTATCATAAATATAGTTACACAGACATTCTGTTACACCACTTTAATCCAGTGCACATCTTAGTTTCTTTATCTCTTCCGGTGGAATCAAGTCATCATTTTGTGTCTCGCTCAGTGTCTGTCAGTGTTAGGATGTTGATATTAAAGTGTATTCTTCTGTCTCTCTGCAGTGCTGAGGATCGGCCACGCTCTCAGCCCTCTGTACAGATTCTCTCTCGCTGACGGCACCATCGTCTCGGCTCACACTAAGAGCAAACTGGTCCGATCGCAGGCCACCAACGAGCCTCAGCTCTACATGTCGCTGCACATCCTGCAGAGGTACGACACTCTTTCTCTTCCTCTGCATCTACTGCCATGTTTCTGTCTTCCTGATTGTTATGGTTAGTCTTTAGGAGACCCCACATGTGAGCTATTTCCCTCAAGAGAGGCAACCGAAGGACATTTATGCCTTGTCTGAGATTCCATCTTTAAAATGTTACACCAAAGTTTTCCATTGTTTTTTGACACCTGCAAGCTTTTTTTCTTTACTACTTTTAGGTGTAATTGTTTCCCAGTGTTTCATTTTTAGGGTTTTAAGAAAGAAAAACATATTTTGAGAGCCTCCATTATCAGACACGAGGTTTAACTACTTTAACAAGAAAGTTATCCTAAACCTATTAAACTTTCTTGATACACTTTTAGTTTAGTACTCTGTCTTTTTGAGTGGTACAGAATATAGTAAGTGCATTTTCTCGTTGACAGTAGAAATATTACTTAGACTCTGTGGTCAATTGTTTTAAATCATCCTAATAAACCCTGAAAAGGGACATTTAAATAGACAAAGGACCAACAACTTTTACAAAAACCTGTTAACTTTGAAAAACCAGTTAAAGTAGAAGTTAGATAAGTCTAAAACCTCAGGTTCTGAAACAGTGTGCACAACTGAGGAATCGGAGTAGTAACGAGGCTAAACCTGTAACAGTGTGATAGCTTTAAACAGGAATCAACTCGAGCCCCACACCAAACACACAAAGCTCTCATTGTGCCGAGCGCCGCGGCCATAATTTCCAATGTGGAACTTGTGGAAGTAAAAAGGCCAAGTTCTGGCCATTGATCCTCGAAAGCTCCGGGTAACAGTCCTGGCTTTGTTTCCTGACCGCCGTCCAACTCTGTGAACGGTCCTACTGGAGGAACACTGTACTGGCTGCTGGTGCTCCTGTCAGTTTTGTGCAATACATGCTGTATTGTGGCGTTTCTGAATAAGAGGCTCTTTGTTCTTAATACAGATTGATCTCTGTCCAAATCAACATCGAACAAAAACACTCGAAGACATCCTGCAAACAAAATCATATTTTTATGATGTACTTTAAGTCATTAGATCTTGTCGACCCCTTCCTGAAACACCTCCATCAGCAGGAGAGGACTCTTTAAAGTAGAGACACTACATACTGATATACACCTGAACATCAGCAGGAGAGGACTCTTTAAAGTAGAGACACTACATACTGATATAGACCTGGACATCAGCAGGAGAGGACTCTTTAAAGTAGAGACACTACATACTGATATACACCTGAACATCAGCAGGAGAGGACTCTTTAAAGTAGAGTCACTACATACTGATATACACCTGAACATCAGCAGGAGAGGACTCTTTAAAGTAGAGACACTACATACAAATATGAACCTGAAAATGATCATAATATGTCCTCTTTAACTCACCACTTGTGCTGTATTTGTATTTATGTAATTCACCTATTCTGATTCTTCTTTCTTTTGACTTCCAGAGAGAACATGACTGTGGAGATACCAGGAGGGCAGGGTATATCCAAACCAATGACCCCCACCAGTGTGAGCGGCCCCTCCCCTTCCCCTGATGCCAGCGTCACCAGCAACACCCCAGTTCGTGGTTTAGGGGTCGTTTCGGGGCGGGGAAGCAGCCCTAAAACAGTGAAACTGGGCAGCCCTTCACCCCAGGGAAGCCCCAACGTCTCCTCCGCCATTTTGTCCCCTCGTCATCTCCTAAACCCCTCTGGGTCTTTCTCTCCTGCAGCTGGACTCCATTCTCCAGCGTCTGTTTGCAGCAGCACGGGAAACAGCCAAGGGTTCAATTCCCTCAGTGCACTGCAGGCAGTCAGTCAGGGGCACAGGGTTTCCCAAGGACTCACCGAGGGGCAGTGTACAGACAGGTCACCTGACAGGAAGTCGATTGGCATCCGGAGCCCTCAAAACACTCAAAACAGCAAGAATAATCAAAGCTTGGAGGCGGATTTATTGGGAACTTTTGGGGAGCAGCAGCAGGAGTTGTTGTTGTCCCCGAATCAGGAGGAGGAGAAGGATAGTGACCCCGATTGCTCCGAAAATAACGGGAGTTTAGGGGAGGGAAATCGCCCGATGAACACAAAAGGCCACACTAAGCTTCTTCAACTCCTCACCACCAAATCAGAGCCCCCAGATCCTTGCTTTTCTCCCCCTTCAGGCGACGACCAAAAGGACCAAATGGGAGGTTTGGGTGGATCCGGGAATAACAACCACTCCACCTCGCTGAAAGAGAAACACAAAATCCTCCATAGACTCCTCCAGAACAGCACTTCGCCCGTGGAGTTGGCCAAATTGACGGCGGAGGCGACGGGAAAAGACCCACTGGGTGGGGAAGCAACCTCTGGGGACAATATGGCCGCCCTGGGGGACATCAAACAGGAACCTGGGAGCCCCAAAAAGAAGGACAATGCGTTGCTGCGCTACCTGTTGGACAGGGACGACAACGGGATCCTGGATAAAACCATCAAGATGGAACCAGGCGAGGAACCGCAGCTGGCCAACGTGAAGATAGAGAAACAGGAAGTGGGGTTCAACATGGCCGACCAGGTGAGGGATGATGACAGTGAGGTTCATGATTAGTAACGAATAATCTGTGGGTGGATTGATGGATAATGATTTGCCAGCAATTTTGATTACAATTTAAGTTCATTTTAACGGAAAAATAGATTTTCGTTTCGTACATTTTCGTTTTAGTGTCTCAGGTGAATGTGTTACTTCTCTCACAAATGATAATTATTTCTAGTATCGGTTAATTTGGCAACTATTTTCTTTATTAATCTATGGGTAAATGGGGAGAAACAATCGGCAGCAGTTGCGAATATTATTTTAGTCAATTATAATAAAACATTTCATTTGTTGGTTTTCAATTATTATTATTTTTTCAATTAGTGGTTAATCTCCCAATAAATAGTCCGTCAATTAATCCGATGTCTTTTAATGTCCTATTTTATATACAAAATAACAACAAAAGCTATAAAAGCAGGACATCTGACCGACTGAAACTCAACGTTTGCATGAAAAATAAAAATTAATAAAGTGCATTATATTAAAAATAGTTTATAAAACAAGGAATTGATTAGAAATAGTTGACAGTAAATGTATTAGTAATTGTTCCATCCCTAATTTATGGTACAATTGAAAACGCAATATCTTTATCAGTATAACATGAACACATGGAGGAGGAGTCATTCCTCTCTTACATATTAACCGTTCTGTCTTTTATGAGAAACATCATGAATATTTCCACTTAAGAAGCTGACATAGTGTGTTTAACAGCTCCTGTAAACACGTTGGAGTGAGAAGTTTGTGAGTGTGTGTGTGTGTGTGTGTGTGTGTGTACGACGTGTTGACTTCCTGCAGGCAGCTGATGGCTCGCTGTCAGTAGTCAGTTAGTCCCTGAAACTCAAGATGTTCTGGCTGTGTGTGTGTGTGTGTGTGTGTGTGTGTGTGTGTGTGTGTGTGTGTGTGTGTGTGTGTGTGTGTGTGTGTGTGTGTGTGTGTGTGTGTGTGTGTGTGGTGTGTGTGTGTGGTGTGTGTGTGTGTGTGTGTGTGTGTGTGTGTGTGTGTGTGTGTGTGTGTGTGTGGTGTGTGTGTGTGTGTGTGTGTGTGTGTGGTGTTGTGTGTGTGGTGTGTGTGTGTGTGTGGTGTGTGTGTGTGTGTGTGTGTGTGTGTGTGTGTGTGTGTGTGTGTGTGTGTGTGTGTGTGTGTGTGTGTGTGTGTGTGTGTGTGGCTACATGTAATAGAGACATAAGATGATGGACGAGGGATGTCAGTGCAGATCTGTTGGAGTGTTTGTGATTTAGTAGTCAAATTATTTGTCTTCACCTTGTGGACATTTGGGATGGAATGAAAGGACGACATTGAAAACATGCTCTAAAATAAAAATAAATATATTTATATAAATGCAAGAAGTTAAATTGCAATACCAAAATAAAAAAATAATCAAAGATATTCATGTAAACATTAGAATTAAATTATCCAATATATGGTTTTTTAAATTAATTATATATAAGGTGAAGTTAAAGCAAAAATGTGCATTAAAATGATAACAAATAAATACAATAAAGATTTTATTTAAACATAAGAAGTTAGAATCAAAACGTTTACATTGTACTACAATATATAGCATGTACAGTTGAACAATATATACAGTGCTGTTTTAGTATTAATACCCTTAATGCTGATTTGCATATGTCTCAGAGTAGCTCTCCTTAGCGTTGAAAGTGTTGCTATTGAAGCTGCAGGTGCACAGACAGAGTTGTAGTTTCAGGAAGAGGCTGAAGGAGGAAGGTCTGACTTCCTTTAGAGGACGTTCTTTCAACAGCTGTTCCTCCGGAGGCTGCGTTCAGAGACTCTGATCCTGCAGTTTCTAGTTTGTAGAATCAAGTGACGCTTTTTTATGAGTCCTCAAGCAGCCAGGAACTCTTTCATCTCAGGTTAAAGGGAAATACTTTGTCCATCAATTACTCACCCTGTGTTACGTTGAACTCGTTTTGTTTTGTTGAAGCCCTTCACGGAGAAAAGTCTTGATGAATTGAAGTAAACCGGGGAAGCAAAAACAACACTACATCAAAGCAATTGTTAAAACTCCACAATTCTCACTTATGCAGGAATAAGCCCACTGTGTCTCAAACTCATGCATTTAAACCAATAAGTAAAACTCATTGGACTCACTCAGCCCCGAGGAGTGAGTCCAACGTCTGTTTATGCAAAAAGATCTTGGTAAGGGCTTTATTGAAAATGCATGTGTTTGTATAGTAGGAGTCGGACTATATACAATGAGACATTGACTAAATGAAATGTCCTGCCATATTCAAAATGTTTACATCCAAACCATTTGAGAGGAACCAGCAGTATGTTTTCGATGTTTACTGACCTCTAGTGGCAGCTTTGGAGAACTACAACAATACTTGCAAACGTGTGTCCCCCATTGCATCCCAAATGTCTGCTTGAAAACCAAATGATAGGGTTTTCTTTCTGGGAAAGTCACAGCTGATACCTGATGTATGGCAACAATCATAATCTCGATTATTTGGGTCAATAATTGATATCACGATTATTAAAAACGATTATCCATTTACTTTGAAAACATCCATTTATTGAAAAAATGTGTAGTATGTTTTTAACAGTTGATTATCCTCAACTTTAAGTACAATTCAATTGAAAAACCAATTAAAAAAAATAATGTTTAAAAAAAAAAAATTATAATAGCCTATATAGCCTATATTTTTTTTTAATAAACGATTTAAAAAAAAAAAAAATTATTATAATTTTTTTTTTCCGATTATGTTGTTTTCATAATCGTTGCAAGCAAAAATCGTAATTGCGATTTAAAATACGATTCATTGAGCAGCCCTACCTGAGCCTGCTTATAAGAATCAAATACTGTATTTACCCCAGGAGAAATTGTTTTAAAAACGTGACAGTAGCTCCATTTTAGAATTACACCTTCCTCGAGCTCGCAGTAAAAACCCAAAGTTCTAATATTTAAAGTCAAATCTATAAACTTGATTTTATTGCACAGGCTGAACAATCCAAGAGTCATTGGATGATTGTGAAATACGTCAAGAAGTGCGCTCCACATTTCAAGGTTACCGGCACTGGTTTTTAAAAGTTTGGGGGCGTGTCCTTCACATCCTCATTTAAAATGATGCCCTTGATGTGTGTGTGTGTGTGTGTGTGTGTGTGTGTGTGTGTGTGTGTGTGTGTGTGTGTGTGTGTGTGTGTGTGTGTGTGTGTGTGTGTGTGTGTGTGTGTGTGTGTGTGTGTGTGTGTGTGTGTGTGTGTGTGTGTGTGTGTGTGTGTGTGTGTGTGTGTGTGTGTGTGTGTGTGTGTGTGTGTGTGTGTGTGTGTGTGTGTGTGTGTGTGTGTGTGTGTGTCTCACACTGTACATCACACATGACCTCATTAGTGCCAGCAGTTTTATTTTTAGCTCCTCCTCTATTCATCAGCCAAACAGCCGCAGGACACCATCCCTGTCAGTGTGTGTGTGTGTGCGCGTGTGTGTGTTGGGTGGGTCACATTTCACTGTAATGAGGGGGGGTTTCATTTAAAGTGAATATCAGATTTCTTCACATTGGTTTTTGTTGCGCTCTTTATCCACCGTGCCGTGACTCCCAAACCTTATTCTGCTGTTAACATCAATATCATATTCAAATACCATTTCCTGACCGTGTCCTTCCCTCTGATCCCAGGCCAGTGAGCTGGAGGAGCTGCTGGAGGATCTGCAGAGCGGCCAGCAGCAGCAGCTGTTCCCAGGTCAGCCTCCAGTCAGGAGAGCAGCTCCCTCTTCCTCCTCCTCCTCTTCCTCTCTACCTCCTGCTCCCCCTGTGGACAAACAGAGCATCATCAGTGACATCCTGCTGATGACGGAGGGCAGCCGCAGCCCCCCCCCCCAGGCCAGAGGCTTCCCGTCCCCCGGACCTGCAGGTATGATGATGATGATGATGATGATGATGAAGATGAAGTGATGATGAATTCAGGGTCCTACAGATGTCATTTTTATCTTATTTTAATTGATTTGTTAATTTATATTTGTATTACTTTTTTTGACGATTATACTTCATTTTACCTAAGTAACATTTTCAATGCAGGACTTTTACTTGTACTGTATCTGAGCATAGGACAGTGTGGTAATAGCACTTTTACCTAAGTTAAGGACACTTCCTTATACTCTGATAATAACAGATATTTAATAAAACCATCTCCCTCTCAGCCGGATTTAACGGCGTCAGACCGGTTCAGACGGGCCGCTGCGCTCCGGTCCGCAGCTCGTCTCTGGACAGCTCCGTCAGACCCTTCCCCCCCCAGCACAGAAACGCCCCCCCCTACTCCTTACTGCAACAACAACAACAACAACAACAACAACAACAACAACAACAGCAGCAGCAGCAAGCTATGATGGGAAATCATGCAGGAATGGCCAACCAGGCTGCGATGGCCAATCCAGGTCAGGCAGGAAAATCAAAAGTCTTTATCTGTGTTTAAAAAGAGCTTAAGGCAGCAGGAGAGATTCAAATTACGTCAAAGCTCAAAAACAAGTTACTTTAATCTGAAGTGCATTTAATTTGTAACATTATTTTCCCTTTTGACGTCTTTTTTATTATATTTTTCCTATTTTAAACAAATATTTATACAGATACAATTAACATTTTGGGACCATTAAGTAGTTTAGATTATATTTCTTTGGTCAGTGTTAGAAGTTGTTTAGCTTGTTAATGTTTCTCTCAACATGAACTCTCTCCAATTCGAGATGTGTTAGTAATATCTATTCTAAATACTTTCTGTTTAGCCTCTGTTCTCAAGCTCCAGAAGCTCATCGGGGTTTCCCATTTATGAATTGTAATTTAATTTAATCAGCTCCCTCTGGACAAGCATAAAGTGCTGTTGTGCAAACACGTTTAAATATACAAACATAGTTCCACATACAAGCTCTGATATGGGTATAGGTTGACAGGTAGGTAGGTAGGTAGGTAGGTTGACAGGTAGGTAGGTAGGTAGGTAGGTAGGTAGGTAGGTAGGTAGGTAGGTAGGTAGGTAGGTAGGTAGGTAGGTAGGTAGGTAGGTAGGTAGGTAGGTAGGTAGGTAGGTAGGTAGGTAGGTAGGTAGGTTGACAGGTAGGTAGGTAGGTAGGTAGGTAGGTAGGTAGGTAGGTAGGTAGGTAGGTAGGTAGGTAGGTAGGTAGGTAGGTAGGTAGGTAGGTAGGTAGCATCAAAAAAGGCAGAAACTAAGACACTAGACACAATAGAACTCAAATAGCATTAAAAAGTTAAAGAAATATATATATATATATACATGTGGAAAATATACATGATATATACAATTAGACATGTTGATTTGCATCAGATACCCACCTTCTTCATCTATGAAAAATAATTTCTAAGATTATGAATCGCATGAAATAACTCCAATAATCTCAAAATGTGATTTCTGTTCTCTCCACACCAGGCATGCTGGGTAACGGTGCGATGCGGGGCTCCATGCAGCAGGGCTGGGGTCCCCAGGGGCCGATAGGGGGCACTGCGGGTGGGGCGATGATGGGCCACGGGGTCGTACAAGGTCGCATGGTGCCCAACCACGGTGCGCTGCCCAACAGAGGGCCGCCGGGATCCAGAACCATGGTCAACATGCAGATGATGGGCAACGGTGAGTGTTGGGAAAATACTGAATGTACTCTTCCAATATCAGAGTCCACATGATAACAAAGGTATCCCAACTGTAGCTGTGAACATGACAGGATGTGTGATTACCTAGAAGAGCATCAGGACTGTTTGAGGCATGTGATAGCTATGTGATTAACATGATGATTCAGCCTCTATGGAGAGAGACATATGACAAGCATGCTCATTTCTGACGTGGAGCTAATCTGAAGTAAACATTGAATACTGCTTTCTACTCCTCCATCTTGTGACTGTGTAACTCCCTCTCTTGGATATCAGCATGTGAAGGACACTGTTCAGGAACTAGTTGATGCTCTGTATGTGAGGACTCCTTCCATTCTGGAGAGGATCACAGACACATGGATCCTGAGGTTGAAGAAAGATTTTGAGAAAATCCTAATTGTTAAATTTTGCGAAAAAGTCAGAATTTGGCGAAAAAGTCAGAATTGAGATTTTTTTAACAGTGAGGGGAAAAAGCAAGAAATTAGGAAAGTCTATATATTAAATGTGAGGATTTTCTGACTTTGAATGTGCCTTTTCTCTCCTGCAGAAATGGAGATGGCTGCCCCCGCATACCCTCATCAACAAGCGCCGCCCAATCAGACGGCACCGTGGCCAAACCGAATGATAGCCATGGATCACTATGGAAACCAAAGCAGGTATGGCATTTATTTTATAAAACAAAAGAAGAAGTCATCCAATAAAAATGTATTCATGAGCAGCACCTTGAATGCCCCGAGACATTTTTATTCAGCTTTTAATTAATAATAATAATAATAATAATACACTTAATTGATATAGCGCTTCTCATCTGCCAAGACACATCTCGAAGCGCTTCAATAACAGTATCCCCCTTATATTGGTCTTTACCTTTTAATGTTTTCTATATTTGTTTGCTTATTTTATATTTTTATAATTTTATTTTATAATTATTTAATTTCTTTAGGCTTTTTATTTAAACATTTTTTTTAACTGAGTGAGTTATTTATTGTTAACTTTTAGATTATCTCATTTATTTATTAATCTCCTGTTTACCCTGTGTCCTATATACTTCACAGTACTAATACAGCTTTATTATAATAACACCAATTGTCCCTCCAGGCCACCGTACCAGGAGGACGGGCTGCGGTGCTGCGAGGCCCCCCCCGACGAGAGAGCGCTGCTGAACCAGCTGTGCTCCGTGCTGAAAGACTACGAGGGTCTGGAGGAGATCGACAAGATGCTGGGGATCCCAACGCTGGCTGGACAGGTGAGACCCTCCAAACCGTTGTTGGGTGCCTTGCTCAAGAAATATTTGGAGAAAGTAATAATTGTTAGATTTAGCGAAAAAGTAAGAATTTTACAAAAAAGTCAGAATTGAGATTTTGAGAAAGTCAGAATTTGGAGAAAAATGGTTAAACCCTAACCCTAACCAGGAGGTGAACTAGCAGTACACACTCCTACGGCTCACAGTCCAAGCCCCTACTGACGAGCCACTGCCGGACTATAATATATACATATAAGATAAGATAAGAAGTACTTGTGTAAAAATATCACCTGCGGCATCAATCTAAATGCTGCAAAAACCATACACTCGCATTCAACCTCTTAACGTGATATAATGAGTGTAAAGCTCCATTAATGGATCAATATTTAACAATTGGAAAGTTAACAACATTGCAGACTCTCTCTAACAAAATGATGCTTAGACCTGTTCTACACCCCCCCCCCCCGATACCGGGGGGAACAACGCGTCATCTGCAGGAAACAGCGTCTGAGGGCATCTTAATATTTAATAAACTATGAATGGTTTATATCCATGTAACGGGAAGAAACTCATCTAACTGATCCATTTTTTATTTTATTTTTTTTAAAACCCACAATGCTAACGCTCAGCCTCTGAATTAGCAACGAGCGGAAAAAGGCTAACGCATTACTGCACAGAAACTCAATCATAACACCCTTATTACTTATCTTAACTGCACATCCAACATATCGACTAGCATCGTGAGATGACACAGAATCGATAGGTACATACATCATCACTCTACGATTAGAACTCGCGAAAATATTAACAAGAACAGACATTAAAACATGTGGCGCTAGGTAGCTAAAAACGGCAAAATGGCTTACCTTGGTTGTTGTCTGGTCAAAAGTGGTCTTCAATGGCATTAAAACGATAAAAACGCTGCTGAAGTTCATCCATAGGTTAATCCAATGTGTCTGTGTCCCTTTGAAATGATTTCTGATAATCCATAAGCAATAAACCTACTTTTCCGTTTCCAGATGTCAGAGCGAGAGATAGGTTCGCTCATGCAAAACTGTGTGCGCATAGCTCTCATTTCTCAATGGTAGTGTGTGTGTGTGTGTGTATGTGGAAATTCCCCTTCGATTCTATTGGCTCTAACGGTCAGAAAGAGGTGTCAATCACCAAAATCGACCAATGGGTTCCAGAGAAACGGTAAAAACGCCCAGTTCCACCCAAATCACCTCAGAGGTGGAGTTTTTTTTGCTAAACCTCTCTAAAAAGGTCAAATGTCACTTGTTTTGCATCAATCTTGATACAGGGTACTTATTATATGTTGTACTTTGGATTCCTAAAGCGTTTAGTTTTTAGTTTAGTCTACCTTACCATCATCCAAGGGTAGTTTTCACTACAAGTAAAAAATAATATTTGGACGGACACTATCATTTACAGTTTTTTACCATGTTCAATCTGAATTTTCTTTAAAATAAAAAACATCTATATTGATTCTGACTCTTCTACATCCAACTCACAGGTTTATCATTACTTTGAGAACAAAGATTATTAATTTAACCCTTTTTAGAAGGGAAGATATGGTCATTATTTCTGGGAATGTCATTTTCGAGCCAGAGACCTGAAAAACAGGCTCAGGGCTGAACAGGTTAAGAGAGATGCTGTACTTGGTACTTGAATTGCCTTGTGTTGAAAGGTGCGTGATAGTGGCGATAAAAGCGAAAGAACATCTGATACAAATAACATGTTTTGATTCCTCTTCTTCCCCCCCCTGCAGGGTCACATGTCAGAACAGTACCTGGTCTCCTCAGATCACAACATGAAGCCCCTCCATTACTCCCAGCACTACGGAGACCCCCCTGGTTACGGCTCCATGACTCATGATGTGGGGTACCACGGCCACATGGGGAGGATGCCCCCTGCTGGGTACCCCCCCATGATGAGGATGCCGGGGGGACCCCGAGCGGGGGGGATGAGGCCGGTGGGGCCCAATCCTGGAGGGCCGCAACCCAACAACCTGAGGCTCCAGCTGCAGCACCGCCTGCAGGCTCAGCTGGTGGGTGGCAACAACCATCTTACATTCTTTTCTTTCTGTTGTTTATTGACAGCAACTTGGAACCAAACACATTTAAGATAAGATAAGGTACAAATAAAGGCCCAGCTGGTTGGTGGCAACACATATTTTACATACTTTCCCAGATATTCCCTTTACCCCACCCTTCATCTTCCCTCACCCTCCTCTCAATTAAAGTTGTGTTAAATCTCGTTACCGCAGTATCCGCACAAAGACCACCGGACTCAGGCTCAGTTTTATCCCACAGGCCATAGAGAGGCGGAGTCCCTCCCCTTCCGGGGGACCTCCATGGGACCTTATTTCGGAAAGATTATCTCTCGATCCCGTTTGAATTGTGCCACGAATTACACATATGATGTTTGTCAATTTAAAAGATAATTTTGCAAGTCAAACATTTTTAAATGTGTCGTAAAACTGTGAAGTAATACTTTCTTGTGTGAAACCGCTCAATGAACTACATCTCCCATCTCGCATCACACACCAAGACGGCCGTCACGTTGGAACATTTCACTCCTTTCTTTCAGAACGAGGCAGAAAGTATTAAACGAGGTGAAAATCACTCCAAGTCTGGGCGTGTTGAGAGCTGTGCATACACACAAGGGGAGTGAGTCGGTTCTTAAGAGCCAGCATGCGGGACGGGGATTCTGGGATTTGTAGTCTTTCTAGTTGCCTATTTTTCATAGTCTTATATTTCAACAGTTTTACGACAAACTGACTTTTTTGACATGGAAATTATTTTTTAAGATTGACAAACATCATATGTGTAATTCGTGGCACAATTCAAACGGGATCAAGAGATACGTTTTCTCTCTCCATTGACTTCAATACATACTTTTTCAGAAATAAGTTCCCATGGGTCGGAAGTAGAAGAGCGGGACTTCACCTCTCGATAACACTGATAAACACCTGAACTCTGTGAAGTGCCCCGATAAACATTCCTGTTGTCATATTGCAATCTACTTGTTTATATAAAATAGCTAATAATAATAGTTAATTTAGATTATTTTATTTCATATTCTGTTCTTGTACATGTATATAGATTTTTTGCACTACTTTTTATTTTGTATTTTTGTATTTTATTGTATGTTGGATTGTTGTAAGAGCTCCTCCAACAGTGCAACACAATACAACAGATAACATAGTTGCAAGTAAATACAAATCAAATAGAAATAGTGACATCCCAGCGCTATAAAAAGTCATCAGTTATCCTCCATGTGTCCCTGCTTCAAACATTTTACATTATTTTCTTTCTGATGTTTATTGACAGCAACGTGGCAAACACATTTAAGATAAGATAAGATGGAACCATATTGATCCCCTTGGGGAAATTCGGGCGTTTATAGCAGCAAAAGGGTCAGAGTTAAAAACAGGATTCCCACAAGGTAAGGTTACAATATATATATATATATATATATATATATATATAAATACAATAGAATACAAATTCAAATAATAATACAACAAAAGTGATAAACTAACTATTGAAACAATATCACAGTAAAACGTTGAGCATTTGTATGAACATGTTAAATATATGTGACACTAACATAATACTTTGAAACTTTAATTATATAATGCTTCAGATGGTGACATTGGATTAGATTCAATTTAAGAGTAGATTAAATGCAGTTATGTTCCCATATATGGATTACAGGTTGTTGCATATAGGAGTACACCCCCTCCCGCACCCTCCGCTCTTCGTCCGTAGGACTTCTCACCGTCCCAAGCTCTCGCCTCAAAACCATGGGTGCTCGAGCTTTCAGCTGCTCGGCTCCCAGACTCTGAACTCCCTGCCACGACACATCCGACAGTCTGATTCCATAACGACATTCAAAACCCAACTCAAAACCCACCTGTTCAAACTGGCATTTTCTTTATAATCTGTACCCTGTGTCCTTTTGTAGTCCATTTCCTGTTTGTCTTACCCCGGCTGATACTTCACTAAATCCACTGTTTTAATTGTTCCCTATATTGCCCCTATGCCCTGTAAGGTGTCCTTGGGTGTTATGAAAGGCGCCCCCCCAAAAGAAATGTATTATTATATAAGATATATGGTTGTGTAAATATGAGGTATATATTTACAGATAGCGGACAAGGTTTAAAGAGGACACATAATGCTCATTTTCAGGGTTCATATTAGTGTTTTGTGTGTGGGAGACAGGGATGTTAGCCTTTGCAGACCATTTACATGCACTAAAACCTATATGACACACTACAGGAGAGGTACACAGAATATAATCTCTTTAAGTGCGTCATTTCTATAGAAAAAACCTTCTCATTCATACTGAGAACAATCAAACCGTCTCCTTTTGCTTGTTTTCTTCTAACTGTGATGCCAGCAGGGTTCACTGAGTTTGAACAGCAGCAGCCAGAGAGAACACACAGCTTCAGCTTTCTGATTCATCAGCTGCTCCCTGCTGCTCACACACTTAACAATGAACACACACACACACACACACACACACACTCACTCACTCACTCGTTGATTGCACCCTATGTTCCCATAATGTTCCTCTTGTGATTGCAGATCCTTTTTGTTCTATTATTGTCTGTAAGTGTTCTGAATTAATGCATTTTGTTCCTGAGTACTTTGTGTCTTGTTTAGTTGTCATAATGTCTAAGGACCCCCATACATACTACATATCAAAGGGGGTTATCACTCATTTGTTATTCACTCCATATTAACTGTACAGGTTTAAGTATAGAGCGCCACCTGGTGGAGAGTTAAAGGAGAACAGCTTGTCTATATCAACAAAAATAGCAACTAAACTAAGTGGTGATTGATGTGTTTTATAATGTCTTCTGTAATTTTACTTTGAGATTAATAAAGTTTTCTGTATATCCTTCTGTAGAACCGTCAGCCAATGGGGAACCAGATGAGTGGCGTGTCCAACATGAATCTACCTCTAAGATCTAATGTACCAAACCAGGTGTGTGTGTGGCCTAACATTACTATACTTGTGGGGACCTAAATCTGTTCACACAGTCACGTGTGGGGACTCGCCTCCCTTATGGGGACAAATTGGAGGTCCTCATGAGGGGAATCATTAATTTTAGGGTGAAGACTTGGGTAAGGGTTAGGGTTAGGGTTAGGCATGTGTTGGTTATGGTTAAGGTTAGGATAAGTCTCCAGGAAATGCATGTAAGTCAATGTAATGTTCCCTGAAGTGATGTATACATATATAGACATTTTTATTGATTGGGATAAACCCCTTGAGATGCACCATCTCGTTTTCAAGGGGGTCCCGACAATAGCAACAACTTACAGACATACATAAACAAAAAGACAAAATGCAAAACATGACACACAAGACAAACCACATACAGTCTGTTAAGTACAATTCAAGCAATGCATACAATCATTACAATTTGAGACAGTCGAGCAAATCAGTTTCATCAATAACAGTTTCATCAATAACAGTTTCATCAATAACAAGTGCAGACCAGTTGAAAGTGAGATGATAATGCATGTTTAAACATACCAATGATGCAAAAGATCTAATGGCAGCAGGTCAAGTATTCCAGTCAGTTGGGGCTTTGAACATGAACGTTCTTCTGCCAATCAATTGGGGTGTGTGTGTGTGTGTGTGTGTGTGTGTGTGTGTGTGTGTGTGTGTGTGTGTGTGTGTGTGTGTGTGTGTGTGTGTGTGTGTGTGTGTGTGTGTGTGTGTGTGTGTGTGTGTGTGTGTGTGTGTGTGTGTGTGTGTGTGTGTGTGTGTGTGTGTGTGTGTGTGTGTGTGTGTGTGTGTGGTGTGTGTGTGTGTGTGTGTGTGTGTGTGTGTGTGTGTGTGTGTGTGTGTGTGTGTGTGTGTGTGTGTGTGTGTGTGTGTGTGTGTGTGTGTGTGGTGTGTGTGTGTGTGTGTGTGTGTGTGTGTGTGTGTGTGTGTGTGTGTGTGTGTGTGTGTGTGTGTGTGTGTGTGTGTGTGTGTGTGTGTAAAATAACTTTGTAACTCTGTTTGAAAGGTGCTGTATAAATAGTTATTGCAAAAGCTTCTGCAGATTAATTTAAATCACAAGATTATTATGATTAGGTTTAATTACACATTAGGCCATACGTGGTATTAATAGCATGAACAATAATGGCTATCAATCAGTGCTAAACTCTTGCATTCACATGCTCCTCAGAAACACAGCTGAGTTGAAAACGACTTTCTTTCAACTTCACAAGCTTAAATACGTAATGTGGGAACAACATGGATGTTTACAAATTTGTTTTCGAATTGTAGTTCACATGAATTTACGGAGTTGGGTGTCCTACAGTATGTTGCAATGTTAACAACAGTAAAACATCATTAGTTTACAAATGTGCTCCAACATGTTATGGATGTTCCTTGGCCCATCCACATCCTTCCACCACAAGAAAAGAAAAATCAGGCTACGAGTTTTTTTATCATCCTGCAGATAGACAAACAAAATACTGAGCCTAATAAAACCTCTTTGTACTTAATACCGCACTAAATTGATCAAATGCAAATCGGTGCAGACCTGACAGTTTTATAATTGGCTCAAGCTCCTCCTAAGAGTCTTGTTTTGGTCCGTTTTCATTTGATTGAAGTTTCGCCTTGGGTTACTTGAGTAAAGAAGTTTAGTCAGTACTTCTACTTTTAACAGAGTGTTTTTAAACACGAGTATCTGTACTTCTACTTGACTAAACGACGTGTGTACGTTTGCCATCTCTGCCAAAAACTGACATGTCAAAGTGGTGGTTGTTACTCAGTGTATTGTATAATGTCTGAATGTCTCGAGACCCTCCTCACTCTGTGTCTGTCTGCAGGGAACCCTGAACGCCCAGATGTTGGCCCAGCGTCAGCGCGAGTACCTCAATAACCACCTCCGGCAGCGGCAGCAGCAGCAGGTGGTCCAGCAGCAGAGAGCCATGATGATGAGGACTCAGGGTGTGCCCAGTGGGGGGTCCGCTCCCACGCCGATGCCCATGGGGGGCACCAACCCTCGGCTCCCCCAGGGAAACCCTCAGCAGTTCCCCTACCCGGCGTCCAGCTACGGTACCAACCTGCCCTCTCCTCCTCTTCCTCCTCCACCTCCTCATCCCGGCTCTTCCAGCCCCTTCTCCTCCTCCCCTCTCTCCCCCAGCCATCACTTGGCTAGCCAGGGCATGATGGGAAATGTAGGCGGACAGTACAGCGGGGTTATGAGTCCTCCGTCTCAGCACAGTGCCTACCAGTTCAGCAGCTCAGGTATTTTCGTCAGCGTCATGTCGCTTCTGTTTGTTGTGGTGGCGGCAGTCCAACTTAATCATTTTTGTTTTAATCATTCGTCCTCTTTTAAGTTGATTGGGTTCAAGGTTGAATGATCAAACTCCTTTTTGTTGTTGTCTAACATTTTCTGCTCTTACACTCTCATATTTCTTTGTTCTTTGTTTTGACCCATATCCAAACCATGCACTCTGCACATCAGGATGTTTGTGAAGGAGATATATATATATAGTGGTGACACTGCTGAACTAAAAATCTTGCCTATATTTGTGTTCGTTGATGTGTCTTTGGTCCATGTTTAAGAGGGTGTTTGGCACGCCCTCTTAATCAAATTGAATCACAAACAAAAAAGGTTCTTCTGGAACTTTTAGATATCTGAAGTAAGGATAGGATCCATCCTGAATATTTTCTACAAACGTTTGCATCAAAAGTTCAGTTTTCAAAGAGCCTTTTGACTTAGGCAATAGCTTTTGGGGTTATTGAGCTTTTTAAAATGAGTTAGCTATGAGGTAGATTGCTGGTCTTTTAATTGTAATATCCACTTAATTAAAACCTGGATGTTAAGCAAAGATTCGAAACATGTTGAAATGCCAGCACTGATTTTTCTGGCTTATTATTTCCATTCGTCTTGTCTGTGTGTAGTTCTGTGTGCCTGTCAATACAATACAATACAAAGGGGCTTTATTGGCATGACCACATTTTAAACATAGTATTTCCACACAAGACGTTATTTCCTTCAATATGTCTGACTCCTTTCTAACCATATAAGAGGAGAATAGGAGTAAGGTACCTTTCTGACTACAGATGAAAATCACAAGGTAGTTTGTAGATAATGTCTCTCAAGCGTCTTACTTTCATTTTCTGACCCTTTTATAATAATAATAATAACTCGTTCTATTTACCGTAGAGGCGCCTTTCAAAGCACCCAAGGACACCTTACAATTCATAAAATGTTCTAAGGAAAGGTTTAAGACAGCACAAAAGGACCGGGGACAAGTAGCACTTCAGTGAGTAGGCTGATCTGAACAGGTGGGTTTTGAGGAGGGACTTGAATGTGTCTGTATCTGCTTCGATCTGCAGGAATGAGTCAGCAGCAGCGTCAGGATCCAGTGTCAGGGTTCCCATGTGGAGCTGCGACCCCTCAGAGCCCGCTGCTGTCCCCCAGGATGCAGCAGGGGCAAAGTCCCATGATGCAACAGCAGAACCAGGGCCAGCCACAGAACCAGGGTCCGAACCAGAGACTGCCCGGGTACCAGCCCAGCAGCGCGTGGACCCAGTCGGCCAACATCTCCACCAGCAACAGGTAACAACAGTTCATTTTATTTTTTATTATTTTATTATTATTATTTTATTTTTATATGCATGCTTCTTAGTTAACATTAAGCTGTCTTTGGTTTCTGGTGTAACAAATGTCCCCTCTGTGGGACGAATAGGGATTCTGATTACAGGTGGGATACGTAACTCACTTCAGAAACACTTGTTATATTCCATGGAGTGCTCTGAACATCCCGATAGCAATGAATACATGAAATGCTTTGACAAAAAATACATAACAAAATGTCACCTGTGGAAGCCGTAGCGCTGTAAAAAGCACGACCAATCATCTGAGCCGGCCCGGCTAAAGTAACTGGATGGTCTACCTGCCTGTCAGCCTTCCATCTGGGCACAAACTTATCTCGTGCCCTCATTGGTCATGTGCGCGTTCGTGTGTGTTGGAGGAGGGGCTCTGTAAGGAAGTGGCAGATTTTTTCCGGTTGTGTATTTTCTAATTCTAGCGCACTCGAGCTGGTTTCTCCAAAATTACCTACCCCACCTTTAACTTCTTAGATATCATTATTATTTCACTGATAGTATTGTAGATTCGATTCCAGTGGTGGCTCTGTACGATGTTTTCCGACTTGTGTAATCTAAACCTGTCCAATAATTGCATAAAGCTTTCCAAAACAACATTTATTGATCAAAAGATGGATGTTATCATTTCCAAAATTCCAATATTCTGCTTGGATCCACATTTGATGCCGTTTGGCCTTTCAAAAACAAAATGTCTACTGCTGTCAAAAAACTGTTTGTGAAATATGTAAAGTGTCTTTGAGTTTCAAGAAAAGCGCTCTATGAATAACATTTATTTACTGGTTGTTCCAGCAGCATACATGACATACTCTACACAATAACAAAACAACTTGTTATGGATATTCTACATATTTAACTGTGTTTCCCTCCTTGCAGTGTGTACCCGCAGCAGTCCCAGTCGCAGTACTCCACACAACCCACCGCAGGAATGTATAATAACCCCAACACCATGAACCTGGGAGTGATGGCAGGCAGCAGCGGGGGAAACATGAACCAGATGTCAGGACAGATGAGCTCCATGAACACAGAGCAGGTGAGGGAAAGCTTTTTTATTGTAGCGGCCAAATTTATATAGAAATGAAACAGATAATTAAGTTACAATAACACTGCCGCTGAGGAACTACTTAGCGGAACTTACGCAAGGCAATGATCCAAGTCCAGACAAGAATGTCAATGTCAAATATGATCCAATATCATTAACAATGAACAGGTTTTGTTCCTTAAGCCTTTCCTATGGCTTTCCTTTCTTGTGGCTGGAAACACCCTGGTAAAAAAACCATGTGCCTACTAGTGCTCTGTTCACACCACCACCTGTCTCCAATATACCATTTTATATATAGCTCCAACACCTATTAAGCAATTGTTCTTGTTTTCGGTCTGACAAAAGAAGACTATTGATCATGTCCAAATGATTCCTTTCTCAGTAAACAGTAGTTATAATATCCTGTTAGCAAGCGTGTTCATGTTTGTTGTCATCGTCCTGCTACAGGTGGAGGACGGCAGTCTGATCCTGGAGCAGCTGGCCGGGATGGAGATGTTGACGCAAGAGAGTGAAGCCAGTTCTGTAAGTTAAAGATTTGCACACATTAACTTATTGTCTCATTTAGTTTTAAGTCTGTAAATAAATATGCTGTTAACATACTATGAGTTCAGGTTGAGGACAAATGGCTACTGCTTTCATGTGTCAGAGCTTGTGTAGCTATACATAATGTTCACGTAACATTTAGCAAAAATGCCTTTTCATTAGATATACGAAGTTCGCTTTACATGAAAACTTAAGGACAATCACACAACAGTTGAGTCAATATAAAAGGACGGAATGAGAATTATTACACACCCAAAAGCCATCATAATACAGTAGAAAATCACACTTCGATCAGAAAATAATGAAATTATTCGACTGTTGCTGACTACAAAGTCTTGTTCTCCAACCACGGAGTGCACATATTTTCTTCACAATCGTTTTCATTGATAATTAATGTGATTTTCTGTCTTTTTATAGAATTTCTGCTGACCCCGGCTGTGTTTAAGACAAGGTAACACAGGAGCAAATGCAAAAAACGTAACTCTGCTCATGAAGAATTAACGAGAAGTTGAGAACACATGATGTAAACAGGACGCTCCCTCTGTCACACCATCCACATCTGAGGCAAAACAGGAAGATGACAATACTGTAAATGAGAGCGTTCACATGTGTGAGAAACTGGAACAACAGTTTGAGAAGAGAGTGGTTGACGAGCATAAGTGAAACCTCTGGATTTGATCTTTCTATGGTTCTATTTGAGAGCCTGACTGAAAACACATTGAATAACAAGGTTTATGAAGAAATATTTTACAGGTATTTATAGTTTTGAAGAAGTTTTAGAGATTATTTGTATTTCATTAAAAAAAATCAAGGATATCTTTCTTTAAGAAAATCTCAGAATGGTACATTATGATGTCGATTTTAAATGTTAATATATTTCAACTGCTGTAGTTACTGGGGAGCTGTATCCCTATTTAATGACTTTTTGAATGAAGGTGAATGTGTATAGATAGTGTACATACTTAGATTTTAAATACCCCATTTCCTCTATGTGGCATTGCTTAACAGCAGTTTGGAGTTTTAGTCCAATGAACATCTGTCGGGAGCAGAAATATTTATTTGGTTTAATGAGACCTCAGTGGGTAGAGCTCAAGAAACACAAATGGAAAAATAGAAGGTCAATTAATCTGGCGTAAGCTAATCAGTAACCTTGCCTGGGTATTATGCTAGTCTATCATAGCTATAAATAATCTAATGCTATTTTAATTGACCTAATTTGAATATGAAAGTTCATCTAAACTCACTAGCTACCCTTAAGCTAGTTTGAGTTTAGTTTACGAGATAGCCCACTTGACCTTGTTTGAGGTAAGCTAAATAGATAGCCTTCTTAACATGGTTTCAGCTAAGCTAACTAGATAGCCTTCTTAACATGGCTTCAGATAAGCTAACTAGATAGCCTTCTTAACATGGCTTCAGATAAGCTAACTAGATAGCCTTCTTAACATGGTTTCAGCTAAGCTAACTAGATAGCCTTCTTAACATGGTTTCAGCTAAGCTAACTAGATAGCCTTCTTAACATGGCTTCAGATAAGCTAACTAGATAGCCTTCTTAACATGGTTTCAGCTAAGCTAACTAGATAGCCTTCTTAACATAGTTTCAGATAAGCTAACTAGATAGCCTTCTTAACATGGTTTCAGCTAAGCTAACTAGATAGCCTTCTTAACATGGTTTCAGCTAAGCTAACTAGATAGCCTTCTTAACATGGTTTCAGCTAAGCTAACTAGATAGCCTTCTTAACATGGCTTCAGATAAGCTAACTAGATAGCCTTCTTAACATGGCTTCAGATAAGCTAACTAGATAGCCTTCTTAACATGGTTTCAGCTAAGCTAACTAGATAGCCTTCTTAACATAGTTTCAGCTAAGCTAACTAGATAGCCTTCTTACCATGGTTTCAGCTAAGCTAACTAGATAGCCTACTTAACCTAGTTGCAGCTAAGCTAACTAGATAGCCTACTTAACCTAGCCAACATTCCTTTGCCAATTGGTACATACATTAAAATGTCCCTACAGTAAATGAAAATTACTAATCAACTCCATCATCAGGTCAAAACAGTAATTTGTCCAAAAACCTGCATACATGGCATTTCCATTACTGTTTATAAGCAATAGCTAGCATGCTGACACACTTAACTAAATGGTGAGAGTCATAGCATGCTAGATATTGCATGATATTTACATTTATAGAATAACATGAGACCTGGTAAACATTAGATATCTGTAGACACGTTATATTGACTTTCAGACATACATTGTTTGTGTGCTCTACCTACTGAGGATTAACCAAATAAATAATTTCTTCTTCTAAATTAGCTTTGCCTCTCAAATAAATCTGTGTAGGCCTACTAATAAAACTCCACGCTACTGTGATTGTTTTCAAAACTACCTGCAGGAGTTCACAGGCATTTATATGAAGCTCTCTGTCTGCTGAAGGATAATTCAGACGTTTGTAGTTTGTTGTTTTGGGACTTTTTGTGGGTGAAGCTGTGATCTTTACATGACAGTTTCAATTTAAATCAATCAAATTAAAACCAATTCAGAGGGATATTAAAGGCAGAATGAGTAAGATTGTGTTAAAAAACAACAAACATAGCCTATAAATGTGTGAGGATGAAATACAGCTGTCGACAAAATCCTACTTCAAGGATGATCTGACCTCAGCCATAAACAGATTATTGGTCCTGAATCCAAATGTTATATTTAATGAAGAAGATTAAGGTGACCCAGCATCTTAAACACCCAAAGTGTAATAATCGGGACTATTTGGCAACAGGTGCTCTCTATATGTATAAGGTGCTGTCTTGTATAAGCTTTTAAATTAACAATACGTGGATGTCTACTTCACATGGTCCAAAAATCTGTTAAGCACATACTTTAACCATAGTATGACTTGTTTTCTGGAAAGAAGGTGAAAATGAAACACTGAAATTAATTTTAAACCTTTTTTTATTTTATTTTACAATGATGTTTCCTTCATGTCCATCTTGCATATTGTACTCCAGTGTGCTAGCATATTGTAAAAATCCCAAATATGTTAGCAAAAACCTTGAGTAAATGTAAGCCATGGAAATGTCCTGAATGTGAAACTCTCTGCAAAGGCAATCACGAGCAAAACCCATGTACAGTACTAATAATACTTTACTGACTGATACAGTATACATATATATATATATTGAAGATTTTTAGATGAATATTTTATCAATTGCAAAATACTGTATTTCCTGTAAGTACCTTAAGATGAAGCATCATGCCTTAGATCTGTGAACTGTAACTTTAAGCTTGACAGGTGAATTCATTCTGCCACATACTGCTGTGTGAGCGTTTCACCACTTCATACTTTAAGTGTAATAATTAGACGGCCAGGGTTTTTATATTTCTCCCCAAAAATCCTCACAAAACAACCTGTGTATCAACTCATAGAAATACAATAATACTGTGTTGGCAGTTGCTTTTTTTCTTGTTGTTAAACTGTATATGTGCACAATGCATCAGGTAGATTCTCCTTCACTAACACTGTTTATTTTGTATTTCTTTTAAAGGGCATTTATATAATATTTGACTTTTGCTGATTTATGTTGGTCTCCACTATACTGTAGTAGTATATACAGTATATACTTGTGATAGAATTTGAGCTACGGTGGCCTGTAATTGACAAGGTTATTTAACTGTAATGCAAGACGACTCCTGAGACAATTAGGTTACCATTTCTGACATAAAATGCTTCAAAATATCTATATTTTACACAGAAATCAATGTAAAATCAATGCGGACAGCTGAGGAGATTTCATATAGAAACCCGTTTTTGAATGTTTCAGTTTCTCCACATCTTTTTTTGCAAACCTCTAAAGAGAAACGTTAAAACTGCTACATTTTGCAGACGTTATAAGAAGTTTGGACCCAAATAAAGCCGGCAAAAACTTTAATTATAGGTTAAACTAATTAAATGCACCTGGAAAAAAAATCTGTTGTATTAAATTAAAGGTATGTAAAAACAAACAGCTAATTCTTATTTGGGCGTTTAAGTTATATTTCAGTGAGATATTTTTCAACATTTTGTAGTTTTTTTAGTTAAAAGCCTCTACACTAGATGTCTTTAATGTGACAGTTGAGTCTTTAAAATACTAATGGCACTAGTTGTTTAAATGGTGCTGTCAAAAAGCAATTCTGACAGGATGTTTTTATTTAATTTAATACAACTAGTCCAGTTAGATAGATGTCAAATGAAGGACATCTCAGAAACTGTTGAAATAATCATGAAGACATTATTTTGTTTGTGATATAAGTCAAACACACCCCCTTTTAGAATATCTTTTAATCACACTTGTGAGTTATGCCACTGTATAAAAGTTGTCTTTGTGATCAGCTGAAAGTGTTTTAGGGTATCGTTTTAAATCAGTGCGATGTGTGATGAAGATGTTCAGATTTTCCAACACACACAGATCATTCAGAGTGTGTGTGAGGGTTTTATTATGCAAAAGTCCTGACGTTCACACCACTTTATGCAAGCTGTCGACTCTAATGTTGCTTTTGCCAATGCTGCTGTTAATTTATGATTCATGCCACTGTAAATAAATTATTTTTATTGAGCGGGACTGCCTCTGTCTTTTTGATTTCATCCACTATAGAGAGTAAATCTACTCTCAAGTTACACCAGTTTTTATATGTATATTTAATGAGAAATAATGCACTGCAATCACATGCATTAAAAGACCATAATCCACCTACAAAATATGACTTATACATAACTTATACACAGAGGTGTAAAGTAACTCAGTACATTTACTCAAGTACTGTACTTAAGTACAATTTTGAGGTACTTGTACTTTACTTGAGTATTCCAATGTTTCGCTACTTTGTACTTCTACTCCACTATATGTTTTTAATATTTTAATCCCTTCAGTTACTTCACAGATCTGGATGAATGATGTGAAATATAATCAAGTGTTAAATCAGACTTTGGTTCCACCTGGAGTAAATCCACCAGCTACCCTGCAGAATACAAAGTCATTCAAACTAGCTGCTCCTTTACCAGCTTTGAGAACACTTTCATGATCAATCATTATAAAACATATCATAGATATTATTCTGAAATGGACCAATCTGCACAATGACTACTTTTACTGTCGCTACTTTCACTATATTTTGATGAGAAAACTTTTCTACTTTTACTTGAGGAACATTTTTAATGCAGGACTTTTACTGAAACAGAGTATTCCTACACTCTGGTACTTCTACTTTTACTCAAGTACAAGATCAGAGTACTTCTACTTTTACTCAAGTACAAGATCTGAGTACTTCTACTTTTACTCAAGTACAAGATCTGAGTACTTCTACTTTTACTCAAGTACAAGATCTGAGTACTTCTACTTTTACTCAAATACAAGATCTGAGTACTTCTACTTTTACTCAAGTACAAGATCTGAGTACTTCTACTTTTACTCAAATACAAGATATGAGTACTTCTACTTTTACTCAAGTACAAGATCTGAGTACTTCTACTTTTACTCAAGTACAAGATCTGAGTACTTCTACTTTTACTCAAGTACAAGATCTGAGTACTTCTACTTTTACTCAAGTACAAGATGTGAGTACTTCTACTTTTACTCAAGTACAAGATCTGAGTACTTCTACTTAAGTACAAGATCTGGGGCCTCATTTATAACGCCGTGCGTAGGATTCACGTGGGAAGGTTGCTTACGTAGTAGAAATCCAAAAAATAGGTACAGACATTTTCGGACATTTTCCGATTCACCAAACATTGCGTACCGGCGAGGAAAGTGCGTACAGCACTTCCTACGCCGGTTTCCCTTTTATAAATCACAATCGACTCGAAATGCGGTGCAGCTTTTGCGGACTTCACGTAACGCCCATATTTGCCTATAAATAGTCAAAGAAACGCCCATTCATTCATTTTGACTGACTTTATGAAGAAGATCGCAGGAAATGACGACAGAACAGCTAAAAAAGACATCTCACACCGTGTCAGATGTGGGTTATTTTGGGGAGGTCGAGATAAATCATATTGTTTGGTGGATGCAGTTTGAACCAGAGCAGCAGCATGGAGGTCGGATCGTCACCAAAATAAATAAATAAGTGGTCCGAAAAAGGTTAATGACAAAAAAAATACACATAGCCTTCCTCAGGCAGTGTGTTTGTACCGGGGACAGGAGACCCCCCCTTGATGAGAGACTGTAAGAAGTGATCGGGGAATCCCTCCGGAGTGGGTCATGACGACTGGATCTGAGTTATGTTTTTGTATTTTGTGGTTTGTGTCCCAGCTGTCGATCAGCTGTGCGCAGCGTCTCCACTGCAGCCTGTGCATCTCAACCCCCCCCCCCCCCTCCCCGCAGCAACTCTATATCCACCAGTTAAAGGAAATACAACTAATGTGTTGTGTTATATCAGCTGTACAATTTACCACATATGGTGTTCTTAGTTTCCATACCTCCTGTGTTTTATGAGCGACTTCTCAAGTCTTAGCAAACGGCATAAAACATGATTAAACATGGTAGTATATAAAACCATGCTCGTACAACCTATAGAAATGCAAAACCGCATCATTTATGAGAAAACATTTCATAACATTAACACAACATATTCGAGGTGGTTTTAAATAACATATCCGTATTTATTTATTTCTCCAAGTTATGTTTTTGTGTGCACTGAGGAGTCTCAAACAGGCGTTTGTTTAATCATTTTAAGATTGGCTTTAATCAATGTTTGAAAATGAATTCTTCATATATGATAAATGAGAGGTAACGTTTTATTTATGGTATTATTTCCACACATTTCTCTCCATTCTTCCTTCTGCCAACGGTGTCGCAGTTTCTCGTCCCTCCCGTTTGTGTGCTTAGTGCGTACGCATGGGTTAGAGTTTGCGTGGAGGACCGCACGTTTTCCCCTCAAGTTAGTATTTTATAAATCGCAAACATTGCGTAGAAACTGGCGTACGCCATTTTTTGAGCGTATATCCCTTTATAAACGAGGCCCCTGAGTCCTACTTTTACTCAAATACAAGATCTGAGTACTTCTACTTTTACTCAAGTACAAGATCTGAGTCCTACTTTTACTCAAGTACAAGATCTGAGTACTTCTACTTTTACTCAAGTGCAAGATCTGAGTACTTCTACTTTTACTCAAGTACAAGATCTGAGTACTTCTACTTTTACTCAAGTACAAGATCTGAGTCCTACTTTTACTCAAGTACAAGATCTGAGTACTTCTACTTTTACTCAAGTACAAGATCTGAGTACTTCTACTTTTACTCAAGAACAAGATCTGAGTACTTCTACTTTTACTCAAGTACAAGATCTGAGTACTTCTACTTTTACTCAAGTACAAGATCTGAGTACTCTGCCCTCTCCCTGTGCGATTCTCTCTTTGAAGCAGCAGGGGGCGACATCCTTCAAGCATTTGGGATATCACCCTGCAGCATTTGTTGCATGAATTTTTCCATCTGTTCCCTCCTGAGTGTTCTTAAGATATGTCATGTCACATTATTCATCAATTTAAGTTCCACAAATATAAATATTCTTAATTTTACAGATAGAAATACCAAAATAAAATGTAGGGGACAAAAAATATTCCAATCCCTTCGGATGATTAGATTAGTTTAGTTTATTTATTTATAGTGTCGTGGACAGTCCCCATCGATGAACTGACACAAAAACAGTGAATGGTGCAGCTTTAGCCGACATGGCTAATTTCATACTTTGTACCATTCTCTTTTAGTTCTAGCTGCTTTTTGGCCGGTGCTTGATTCCCAGTAAGGTTTTAATCTGTTCCCAAATTATTTTAGTGTTACCTTTTGCCTCATTAATTATTGTTATGAAGAAGTTGGCTTTGGCCTTTCTGATTGTTTGAGTTACTTTGTTACGTAATGAAGTAAAGCTAGATTAGATTTGTAAATGTTTTGAACAATGTATAATAATCTGAATACATATTTTCTTTTTTGGCCTGTGTGAATATGCTCTAAATCAGTGATTCTCAAACTTTGTTCAATAATGTTCCCCCTTTGAAAAAAAAATGCAGCCATGTACCCCCTGATCAGCGCAAAAACGATTTGTTAGGGAAGAAATGCCTATATAAAGAGGTACAGCACAGCGCTGCACCATCGGTGTCTGATTTATTAAAACAACAACCTTGTAACTGAGAAACACTTAAATGCTACATTTCAAATGTTTACAATCCATCTCTAAATTCATGGCAAACCAATTTTAACATCATGCAATAACACTGAGACGACATTAGTTGCATTGAACTGATCTTTTTAATAAGTTGTACAATGTAGTGAAACATGGGCTTGTGCTTCACTGAGGATCTTCGTCATTCTCAGTGACAGGAAGGCCACTGCAGTTATTACACTTCGCGTTTTGAAATATGTGTAAATATAAAACCCAAACTGCTCAAACTTCCTTACTTTTCCTAAAATTGGTATTTTTTTTTCATTAACATACAAATAAATCTCACGTACCCCCTGCAGTACTCCAACGTACCCCTAGGGGTCCGCGTACCCCCATTTGAGAACCACTGCTCTAAATTGTGTGTTGGAGCATCTATATGCACACGTGTTTGCTTGAATTCATACACAAGAAAACTATAATGCTTGTTTTTCTTGGCTTTTGCAACTTCTCGCCGGGCCCAATCTCCCTGTTTAACAATACATGTGCTGGAGTAAAGCCGTTAATATGTCCCCTCGATTTTAACTTTGGCTTCAAAGTAGAAGATAAAATACCATATTAGGCCACACACATATGTATTATACTTGCAGGCCTACACAGGTGCATATTGGAGATAATAATAACATCTAATAAGCCACAGTTTTTACAATCAAAATATAGTTCAATCAGGAGAGGCTTAGTTCGTGGTTGATAACATATGTATTGCCGTATGCACAACAACATGTTTTGGAGATTAGACCCCGTCATACTGTGATGAGTTAAGGGGGAGGAGAAGCCGACTAGAAAAGAGAACCCCCCGGGGTCTGGACACTGGTGGTGGTGAAGTACCAAAGGGAAATACAAATCCGGAGTGATGAGGGTTCTTCTGGGCTAGCCTGCCTTGGATCTGATGAAACTGGAGGTGGAGGAGGGTTGCATCAATGCTCCTGAACGATGCTGGCAGGGGAGAGAAAGAGCAGATTTTAACGTTTGCCGGGTGTGCTGTGATTGGCTGTGGGGATGAGAGGCAACCGATTGGTTTAGCTGTTAGTATGTTGGCCCTTGTTTATTGAGAGAAAGGGCGAGTGAGTGAAAGACAATTGTGAATGAGAGCGTGGGAACCGGTCTTCCTGAAAGAACTTACGCTGAGCTTCATTTCAAGTACCACAAGTGAAAGTAGTCATTGGTCCATTTCAGAATAATATCTATGATATGTTTTATAATGATTGATCATGAAAGTGTTCTCAAAGCTGGTGAAGGAGCAGCTAGTTTGAATGACTTTGTATTCTGCAGGGTAGCTTGAGAATTTACTCCAGGTGGAACTAAAGTCTGATTTAACACTTGATTAGATTTCACATCATTCATCCACATCTGTGAAGTAACTGAAGGTATTCAATACATGAGGAAAAGTACATCATTTACCTCTGAATTAT